GGAAAGCTAGGGCATCAGAGCTGATCATTTTCAAAAGCTGACTGCAGGGGTTCCTGAATGCACAGGTCAGCCCTGCGTGTCAGAGCTCACACTCAGGAGCCAAATAAACTTAGATTCAAATTCCATCCGGGTGACCTTGGACAGGTTATGTGGCTTCCTCGAGGCAGTGTTGGAAACAAACGGTGGTCGAGTTATTGGGAGGATGAAATGAGGCCATGTGTGCAGTGTCAAGCACAGTACCTGACACATAGCAAGACCTCAGACTTCCCTGACAGTCTTCCTGTTGCGGGATGGGTCTCCATCCCTTCCCCTTGAATCTGGGTTCTGTGACTGCTTGATCAATAGATTTTGAGAACCTGGCAGTTTCCACTTTCCACCCCAGGGCTGCTTGCTCTAGGAACCCAATTACCAGGCTGCGAGGAAGCCCAGGACGCTCCATGGAGGCCCATGGAGAGGGAAACCCACAGCTGGGGCCCCCATGCCAGCCATCTCGACAGAGCTGTCGATGCCGTGTGAGCGGAGGTGAGATCTCCCTGCCAAGGCCAGGCCAGATGGTGGACTTGTGAGCCGAATAAACAATGGGTGTGGTTTTAAGCCTCTAAGTTTTGAGATGGTTTATGCTGTAACAGGAGACAACCAGGACAGTTAAGGTCAGTTACTTGACATTCAACACTTTCGAAAAATGGAGATCGGCATGCTCATCTATAATTACACTCACTGTGAGGTTCACTGGCAATGCATGTGAAATGCTTTGGCACTAAGTTCCTAACAGACAATTTCCCTGTCTCTTGTGCAGGACGAGCTACATAAATTGTGAAAAATGAAAATGCGAGACCCCTTATTCAAACTACTAATTTTCTAGGCAGTGACAGCAAAGCAGGAGAGTGAGCACATGGTCTTCTGAAGCTGCAGGAGCCCTGATCCTACAATATGCTTGTCTGTCAGGTTAGAGAGGCCGTTTTGACTCCTACAAAGCTGCCTTATAAAAAAAGACCAAATAAGAACTCAACTCTCTTACCACAGTTACTTTTAACACCAAATTAAAAAAAAAAAAAAAGGAGGAATGAAAATCACCAAGTAATCTTTACCATTCATTTGAACTAAAGAGTGACTGCCCCCATCCCAGTGTCCACATACGGCCAAAGCTGTCTCCACCACACAGCACGAAGCTGGGACCTTCGGCAGGCCGCCTTACCTCCGTGGGGCTCAGTGTTCCCATCTGCACCTTGGGGAGGCTCGATCTTAACCTGGCTTCCTTCCAGGGGTCCTCAGAGGACGGGGCAGAGAGTGGGATACAAGGGGCTGCTGAGAATGATAAAGGCTGCGTGACTGTTAGGCAGCCCCCACAGAGGTTCTCTGTACTGCTGTCCCCCAGCCCTGAGCCTCCCTGACCCTGAACAGGAAAGCAGCTACACCAGGCTCCAACTGGGTTAGCCCTGCGTCCTCTCTGCCCCGTCAGAATCAGAAAGCCACACCTGGCCTGCTGTTTGATCTTGGGCAGGTTACCCACTCTCTTAAAATGGTACCTGCCTTCCCATAAAAAGAAGGATAAAACCGACCTCCTTCCTATTTCCCAGCAGTAGTGTCCTGGAGGTAAAAGGAAACTTGTCCAGAGGGCGTAGTACCAGATGATACCTGCTGTATAAATACAGCCGGGCCACACAGGCAGCCTGGTCACACGGGTAGAGTGGGGGGATTTGAATCACAGAGTTGAAGGGCTGAACTCCAGCTCTGCCACTTCCTGGCTGTGTAACAGTGGGTCAGCTGCTTTGCCTCTCTTGAGCCTCCATTTGCAAAGGGGAGTGATGAAATTCTCAATCACACTCAGTCTATCCCCCTTTCAGTTACCGCTATGAAGCCCAAATGCATCAGGAATGTAGAAAGCCTCCTGCAGACTCCAAAGCTCTTAAAATGCTGCCTGTGGTGACAATCAACAGGGAAGATGCCAGCACCACATCACCACTGAGCCTCACAACCATCGTGCAAGGTAATGATCGTGTCCATTTTGCAGATCAGGAAACTGAAGCTGAAAGTGTTTCAAGGCTTGACCTGGGGTCACGTAGCTAGGAACTGCTTGAGCTGGAGGGTGAACCCTGATGGGGCCATTCCTTCCCCCTACAGCAGAAGCCACGTGAGGAAATGGACGGCGGCAGGGGCTGGAGGCCCGAGGAGCAAAGTGCTGGCCGGCCGTGATGCTGAGATGCCCACACCCCACACCAAAACACAAAGCTTCCAGCCTCCCCAGGGGTTTTCTGTTTGGTTTTCACTCTCCTGGAAGATACCCAAAGAAAGGGGAACCTAGACTGAGTGACTCCTCGCCGCCTGTGGTGACATCTGCAGGGACCCAGAACTGCCATATTAGCCGGGAATGTTGTCTTACATCTCTGACCTTTCTGAGAAAACACATTCAACTGCTTCCCGGCCACCAGCAAGCGCTGCTCTTTCCCTGCTTCCCTCTGAAATAGGTTAAGACGATCTTTGCTGCCCCTGGTTTGGCCTTTCACACCCACTGCTGAGAAAATACCAGGATGTTTATTGTTCTAATAGGAGGAAAATTGAAATAAACCTAGACTGACGTTTTTATGATAAACTCTAAGTGATGTGGTCCTGAGGGCCCCACCCCCACCCCCGCCACTCACCTCCTGCCCGCTACACCCTACCACTGTGTTGTGCTTCCTGAGTCTGAAAGCCAGGAACATTCCCACCTCGGGGCCTTTGGGGCCTTTGTAGTTGCTTCCCCTGGCTTCCCAGAATGCTCTGCCCCCAGGCTCCACCTCCTCCACTTGTCCTGTCACTCAGGTTGAGCTCGAGAAGCCTTCCTGGACCCCCTGAAAGGCTAGAGCAGACTCTTTCCTCTGGACACTCTGCCAGAGCCCCTGAGTGGGGCACCTCGTGGCACACAGCACAGCCGACTCTGGAATGACCTTGTTCATTGATTCGGTCATGCGCCATCATTGGTCACATCCACTGGACACAGCACCCACGAGAGCAAGTCTGTCTGAGCACGGTACATCCTCTGCAGCGAGACTTGGCCTGGCTCATGGTGGGTGTTTCTGGAAGGAAGAGAGGGAAGGAGAGAGGGAGGGAAGGAGGCCACTCACAGAAGATCTTGATCTGAACAGAGCAGTGCAGCCTAGAACACACTAGAGTACGATTTCCCTGCAGAGCGACCCACAGCACTTCACAAATGTCCGGTGCCACAGACATCTGACCAACAAATGGTCAGACCTGTGGCTGTGACTTGGGGGCTCTCCAGGATACCCTACAGAGCAAGAAGGGGTCTGTCCACAGTGGGTTCCCATAGAAACTTGGCCCCAAAGGAGGCCAGGTCCCAGGAGAGCCTGAGAGCCCTGGCCAACCTTACTGGAGCTCACACAGGCTTTGCTGGGCCAGCCCCAGAACCAAGCACCAGTTATATTTTTCTGGGAGAAAGTGTTCTAAGCTCAATGCCTTTTGAAGGTTGCCCATTTGTTAAGTAGAAGGGGGCTGAATTCTGCAGGCCTAGGAAGGGCTGGCTCTTGGAAAGTGGCCACTGGGATGGACCATGGGCAGAAACTGCCACGCAGCAAGCACAAGCCCCATGCCAGGTGGCATCTAAGGGAACCCCATGACCCTGTCAGATAGGGACTGATAGACCCATTTCATAGACCAGGAAACTGAACTTTATGGAGATCAAGGCACATAACCAAGACTGCCCAGTTGGTAAGTGGCAGAGCTGAGATCTGAACCCAGGTCTGACCCCAGGGCCTGTCCCCACTTGCACACTGCTGCTGTCCTGTGTCCAGGCCACAGGGAGTGGCAGACAGGCCTCTCTGCCCTGTACCTCTGGAGACCTGCTCCTCCAGGTCAGCCAGCCTGTCCCAGGGTGTGTGCCCAGCATGGGGTGCCTTCTCAGAAGGGGAGGGTGCAGGGGTCCAAGGTGGGCTCTGCCAGCTTCTCCTTAGGCCCAAGGAGCTGTCCTTGAAGCTCTGACTAGTCTCACCTTGGCCTCGAGTCAATCCTTATTCACACATTTAAGCTCTCAGGCCCAGCCTGTGAGTCGGCCCCTCCCGCAAACCCATTCTGGCTCCAGCCCCTCCCTCCCGACATTTCCCACTGTTACATCCTTAGAGGACACAGAGCACCCAGGACAGGGGTGGAGGAGAGAAGACACGGAGAAACTGTCGTCAGAGAGCCGCCTCTTGCCTCTGTGCAGATTTTCACTGTGTTCAGCCCAACCAATCAATCCCCAGTGACCGGGGGACAGAGAAGATAACCAAACACGGTTCTAGGCCTTCAGGACTTCACTGCTGGGGTGGGGAAGGGGCTGCTCTGGAGATTCAGTCTCTTATTCCACTTTTGGGACTGGCCCTGGCCTTAGAGATTCTAAGAACCTAGAACAGTGGACAACCTACAAGACTGTGTTGGGAAACAGTGAATTTCCCGCGAATGCAGTAGCTTCCATAGGACGCTTGTCACTTACTGTCGCTCCCTAAGTGCTAGGATTAGGGGTGTACATGTGTCGGGGAGGGTCACTTAGCCTGGAGCTGCTACCCTGAGTAGCGGGGCCCTGTCCGTCTGTCCACCTGGACGTCAGAATGGCCAGAGGTTCCAAAGGGGTCCCTCATCGCTGGTCAGGGCAGGGGAATTCGCCCTGGTCTCCGACAGACCACAAGCAGGCAGTGACAAGTAGCAGCAGGGCTGACTGTGCAGTCTGGGTGAGCTGGAGTCCCAGAGATGGGGCGGGAGAGGTCCGGCCATGGCCCTCGTTTCCTTCCTCTGCCCCGGGCCCTGGGGGAGCCACAGTCGGAGCAGAAGCAGGCTGGGCCCGCCCAGCTCAGGCACAAGCCCAAGGTTCACACTGACCCCTCAGTCCTCTCCCTGCCCCCAAGGCTAGAACATTCATGCTGCTACTTTGTGACTCCCTTTTCCTAAGATGTGGGGCTGCTCAGCACAGCCCAGATGGAAGAAGGCCATGGTGGGGCCCAGGATCCCTTTCTGCAAATACCCAAAGGGAGTCTTATGACAAGGGCAGCTTTATTCTGAATATCCCCACAGGGACAGCCTTGGGCCAGAGAGTGGGAGACACGGAGGAAAGCTTTGCCTGGGTGCCTGAGGAAGAACCCTGGTAGGGGAAGGGCTGCCCCAGCAGGTCACAGGCTCCCTGTCCCCAGAGGCTGGCTGGGGTGTCTGGGGCTGGGAGAGGGACTGCTGGGACCCTTCCTGCTCAGAGGTACTCAAATCCTCTCAATCGCAGCCTTCCTTGTGATTCGTTTTTAAGGGACCTTACACATTTTTAAAGGACCCAAAATATCAGAGAATCAAAAGCGCCCTTGGGTGGGGGAGTGCTTCCTTTCACTAAACATGTATCAACATCCTCAAGTCAAGGCTGCCAGAGGCCCTGCTCTGAGCACGGGCATCCCTGGACACCTCTCAGCTGATGCTCAGGGGGACAGGGCATGCCCACGCCATCCTTGCACAAAGGCATTTTGGCAAATGTTGTCCAGCCCACGTAAACATTTTCAGGTTCTGGTGTAATGGCCTCTCGCAGTGTCCCAGCCTCTCCAACTTTCCCCAAAATATCTGAGTGGTTTCAGAAACTACCCTTCTGATTCCTGACCTAGCCCCGACTTCCTCCAGAGAGCAGAGAGCAGAGCAAGCGGGTCGGTGAGTAAACAACAGCCTTCCAGGGCCAGGCTTCGAGCAGGGTAATTCCAGAAGCAGACCTAATACTCCAGGCTGCAGCAGACTTGTCATCTGCCCGCGTGTCCCTTTCCAAGGCCACTTGTTTGTTTACAAGAGTCTGAAAGCTCTGGGGAGAGCAGGCCAGCAGACCCAAGTCAGGCAGCTTGACTCCTTAGCGTGAAATGCAAAAATCCTGAAATCCAGATTGAACTACGAAATGTTCTTTCTTTTCCAACAGTCCAGAATGAGGTGAATGTCTGGGTGAGAACATGTTGCTTTTTGACAGCCACATCCTAACCTTGGGCGCTGGGCGGCTGGAGCCATGGGCAGGGCCTGGCGCCATCGGGGTCTGTGCATGGGGCAGATCTGGGAAAGACGCATCTTCATGTCCCAGGACAGAGCAGGGGGGAGTCCGCAGAGTAGGCAAGGGCCCAGGAAGGGCCTGCAGGGCCCGTCCTCTGTGAAGGGAAGCACCCCGGGGAAAGTGGAGCAGGCCCTGCTCCCTGCAGCCATGGCTGGGCAGGCCGGGTCTTGGGTACCTCCTGTTGCAGGGACAGGTGAGGACCTGGCCCCCTGTGGGGGCTAAAGAACAGGGCGGGGCTGACAGCACCAGGAAGGTCCACTCAGCCCAAGCAGGGCTGGAGGCCATGCCAGGTGCTCACCTCCACAAAGGGTGCAGTGTGGTGGCTCTAGCTAAGATGGGGGCTGCCGAGGACACGCTGCCTCAGTGCCATGGAGGGCCTTGTTTACAGTACCTGGGGGCTGCTGGCATGGCAGCCAGGCCTGGTGGGCATGACTCCCAAGACCCAGAGTGAGAGGGGAATGCTAAGGGTATGGGTTTCTGGTGGGCTCTGGGCCTGGTGGTATGTGTCTGATGCCAGGGCTCTGGGGGCATCTTCTTGGCAATAGCAAGAGGCAGATGCCCAGTGGCTGTTGCTCCAACAAACCCTGCCATCCAGATCCAGCCCCATGGCTGATTCTACTGCACAAGCCCCAGCTCCCCTAGGTCTTGTTTGGAGGGCAGTTGAGTGGGGATTCAGGCAGAGACCACCAGAACCCGACTCCACTGACAGACGGGTTTCCCACTGGATGCTGGGACCTCAGTTCAGGCCAGATGGACCTCTGCCACCAGCATGGGGCACTCAGCTGCCCTCTAAGCCCCTGCCTAAGCCAGGCCTCATTTCCCAGAGACAGTCGTGGGCAAGGGGCCCTCCTTCCCTTCCTCCTCCACCGAGAACATGACGTCCCTGCAGCTGCCCAGAGGTGGTTCTGTCTCCTGCTCCGGGTAGTGGGGGGCATGGTCCACTTCCAGGTCCTCTTCAAACTCGGGCCCCGCTGGCCCCACCAGGCTCCGGCCCTCAGGCACCTCAGTCTTCACGGTCCCCACGATCACTGTGTCAGCCTTCATGATGTAGATTTTCTCTGCAAGGCAAAAGGATGGGGTAGGTGAGGAGACCAGAGCCCCAGCTGGATGGAAGTAAAGCATCAGAGGAGGGGGCCAAGTCCCAGCTCTGTCATCCCTGCTGTGTGCCCTGCTGTGTGCCCTCAGGCAAGTGACACAACCTCTCTGATGCCCAGTAAACCCCACTAATCTCACAGGTGTCCTGAGGCTCAAGGGAGATAAACCAGCTTGGAACAGTGTGCTGAGGCGTTAAGAACTGGCCCACTTGCTACTTACAGGAGATGCTCATGATTTTCCCGGCCCCTCTGCACAGACGAGGCAGGGAAGGAGAGGACGGTTGGAAGAGAAAGGGGAGAAAGGGTTGGGAGAAAGCAGGGGATGACAACACTCAGCAGTGAATGCTCCCGGGAGTGCCTCACTCCTCACATCACTTCTGCCAGGTAGAGAGTCCATTACCAGCCCCATTTGCAGATAAAGAGCCTGAGCCAGAGACATTAAACAACCTGCCCAAGGCCAGCAGGCAGTTAGCAGAAATGCCAAAAGAAACCCCCACCCTGCCTGGCTGCCCTTCCCACTCCTACCCACCGGCCTAACGTGGAAACCTGGGGTAACCGATGTGTCCTGGTTCACCCAGGATGCCCCTTGTTCTAGCATTTAAAGTCCCGCGTCCCAGGACCTACTTCAGTCCGGCCAATCCAGCCAGGCAGTTGGTCACACTCTGCAGGCAACCTCAGCCCCGTTAATGATCAGCAATGGCCTCTCTCTGGCCAGCTTTGCTCAAGGCTGTTGTGTTTCAGCGTTTATTTCTTCCTGCTGCACCTGCCTAGCACACAGTAGGACTGCCTGTGCATACCACATGGCACAATCCCCCATGGTCCTTGCCACCAGCCTCTGTCAGGGCTTCAGGGCGCAGGGGAGTCAAGTAAGCTGTCCAAGAAGTGGGGACATGGGAGCCTGGCCTTCACCCAGGTCAGCTGCTGATGGCCTGGGGCTCAGGGCAAGCCAGCAGGGACTCTTTCTGGAGTCTGGATGGGGAAGCTCAAGGGGGAACCTGGGGTGGGGCAGGAGGCTTGGGATCCTGCACCTCTGGGTAACCCAGTTACACCCTCCTGATTCAGGAACCACCGAAACATTCTCGGGGCCCCTGTACCCCGCTGCACAAGGACAACTCTTCTGTTTTGGTTTTTAACATGTCCAAGAAAGACACAAGTGTTCAAAAGAGCAGCCAGAACTAGAGGAAAGCCTACAGGTGAGGCAAGTCATGGGCTGGCTACCACCCTACATCCCAGAAGAGAGAGAAGGGCCCCAGGCCCCAGGCCCCAGCCACACACCCTCCACCGGGGCCTGGCCTTGGGAACCTAATCGGCGGGGCTAGCAAAAGGTGGGGGGCCAAAGGCGGTGGGGAGGGGGACCCTGGGGAGTGAGGGACAGTGTGGAGGAGGCCGGCAGGGCTAGCGGTGATGGGGGATGAGGGGGATGGAGGTGTAGGGGTGTGAGAAGAGCGGCGGAGGGCGCATCCAGGTAGGAGGAGCCAGACTGGGGCCCGGCTGTGCCCCCACACCCGCAGGTCCTCATTCCTCTGCCTGTCCCTCTTCACAGGGCCACCCACCCCACGGCCACTCTCAGTTGAGAGGGGGAGGGTCTTCTAGAAGCTGCTTGGACCTCCTGCCCCACCCAGGGCTCCAGAGCCCAGGGACGTTGTCTTAGTGTGGTCGGGGGTGAAGGGGCTCCCCCTGTCAAGTGCCCAGGGGGAAAGGGGTGAAGCTCAGGCTAGAGTATCGTCCCCCTTGGGAACTGGACAAGGTGGGTGCTCTGTGGCACGGTGGCAGGTGGACAAAGGGTTGACCACCTCTCGGTGTCCCAAGAGAACCTACACAGCCTTCCCCCCCCACTGACCCACTCGCCAGTGATGCTAACAGGCCAGCTGGGGCAGGCTGCCCATGCCCCAGCCATCCCGGGAGCCTGGCATCTCCTTCCGCCTGCCCGTGCAAACACTCCTTCAGCACCCCATGCCCCCACAGTCCAGACACTGCACTCAGTGTAGACTCAGATTAGAACGTCTTAGGAAATTGATAGGCAATGCCTTGGTGGTATTTCCTAAGATACATTCTTTCCAAACAAAACTTGGACTGAAAGCCAGAACTCCAAAAGTTTCCGTTTGGCACAAAAGACTCTGCCCCGAAGAATTCCGTCCACCACCTGCCATAGAAATGTAGAGGACAATTACAAATGCTTTTTGGTATTATCCCAGTGATGGCTAACCCTCCAGAGAAGACAGAGGTGGACCCTGTCCTCATGGGGCTCACAGCCAAGCTGGGGTCGGGGGAAGGCAGCAAACAGTCACACTGCTGGGTGCTGAGAACACTTGGTAGGGACACCCAGAGTCTGGGTGAGCACAGCAGAGGGGCATCTATCTGATCTAGGCTGAAGAGTGGAGAGGGCAGGGATGGCTTCCTGGAGGAGGCAGCAAAGAAGCAGGGTCCTCAGGACATCAGAAGTTGACTAGATTCAAAGGGGTGGAACTGGCTACCCCAGGTGAAAAAGCAGCTCCCACGAAAGTGAGAGAAGGCTCCATAAGCTCAGGAAACAGCCCCGGGGCAGCAGGGGCAGACCTCTGGGGTCAGGAGGCAGGTGAGTCTGGTGGGGAGGAGGCAGGCTCATGACTAGCCTTGAATGCTAGAACAGGACTCCTGGAAGGAGTCCTGAAGGTGGCAGGGACCCTTGGAGGCTTTTAAGCAAGGGTGTGTGGAATATGGATGGGTGTATACTTCGGTAGAAACACTGGTGGTCTATGATAGAGGTGGAAGAGGCAGGGAGACCCACGGGAGGCCAAAGCGGCGGGCTTGTCCGAGTCGGAGGGCAGCTGCAGCTCGGAGATGCTGCCTCCCTGCCTCCACAGAGGCAGGAGGGTGGTGTGGGAAGCCCAGGATTTCAGAGTTCAGCAGAGGCGGGCCGAGCCCAGCTCTGCCACTCAGAGCCGCAGTTCCCCAGCTGTAAAAAGGGGAAGAAGACACCACCATCCTCAGAAGTTGTGTGACAATGAGAGGTGACGGTCGAACAGTGCCGGGAATGCATCAGACGAGCGGCGGTCCTGTCACGAGCTGTCTTCCTCCTGCTGCCCTGAAGGGGCTCTTTGTTAGGGGCTGGGGGTGGTGTCCACTTCTCACTTTCATGACACAGGGACGGGGCAGGGGCGCCTTCTCCCCCTCCCCAAGCCCCCACCCAGACGACTTCCTGGGCACGGTTTCACGGCTTCCCATGACAGTCCTGTGAAATCAGGACTGCCACCATTCCTACCGCACAGAAATGTAAATTGGGGAGAAGAGGTGGAGCGAGCCTCCAGAGCTTCCTCAGCGTGGTTTAACTGCCAGGGAAAGCACCTCCTACTTACGAGGGCTGGTGGGGGACTCCACGCCTCTTCCTTGTTGGGCCTTCCAGCCCCAAGGGTTTCTGGTTCCGGTCAGGGTCCCAAGACCCAGCACCCATGTCTCCCTGCCCCTAGGCCTTGACCACACCGGCCCCTCCCCCCGCCCCCCCACAGGCCGACTCACCAATCCTGTTATTGGTCTGCTCCGTGGCCACTCGGGGCTCAGGAGGGTTCCTCGAGGGTCCAGGGCTCTCAGCCGGGCTGGCATCCAGCAGTTGCAGGCTCTCCAGGCAGGCTGCCCCCACACTGGGGCAGGTCTTCACAGCTGGGGCACCCATGAGCCCCATTTCTCCTGTGCTCAGCTCTGCCACAGACGCGCTTCTCTTTGACTGCTGTGGGCACAGAGGAAATGGCCAGGTGCCTCAACCTCCCCCCAGTTTCCCCATTTCTGTTGACCCCAGGGAGTCTCCCACTCTACTTCAAAGCTGCCACCCGCTCCCCTGGAGTTCTCAGCTCTGAGATCCTGATGCACCTGCATGCAGTTTCAGAAAGTCACGTTCATTTTAACCTGTACTCAATTTTAACAGCCATCTCACACAGTGGTTACCGTGTGTGGCCCTTGACATCTGTTAACCCACATAACCACCCTACAAGGTGGCTGATAGAGCATCCTCCCATTTCACAGATCAGGAAGTGGAGGCACAGAGCAGTCAGACAACTTGCTCAGGGTTAGTGCCTGAGCCAGTACTTGAACCCTGGCATCTCCCCCAAGAATCCACACTCGCAAGCACCAGTCTCTACATGTGATCTCCAGGCCCACCCCAGCTCCCCAGCCCTGATTCCTGGGACAGTGGTCTTTTGTGATTATATGAATGTATTCTAAAAATAGCTGTCTTCAGGACCAGGCTGGTTTAGTTTTATAGGCTAAGTGCAAAGGAGAAGTGGCCTCATGAAATGTCCTAATATATACCACTTAAAACTGTCAGCCTTCAAAATGGAATGACTTTGAGTAATTCATAAAGCATAGCTACATAATCCTGAATATTCTTTTATACTAATTTGAAGCCCAAAAGACAGCATTTTTAAACAAACTACTATTAATGTATTGGCTCTCTAGCCAAAGGTATTTATCTTACAAATCATTAAATGCCCTTTTCATGAAATTTCTCTGCATTGTTACAGTGACTTATCTGACCAAGCATATTTGAATGTGATCTCCCTTTGCTGAGCTGAACTCCTGTTGGGGTTCAGCCTTTCATGTTTAAAAATGAAAGGGTGGAAACCTTTCTCCACATATAAATGTTTGCATTAAAACACAGTAATGGAAGAATTGGTAAATGAAAAATAATGTGGGTGAGTCATATATACCTGAGACCCTGCCATATGGGTGCTTCATCCTGCCCCTTCCCTCTGTTCCTAAGGGCAATGTCCCTGCTCCCACCACCCTCGCTGTCCCCGGGAGGCTGGGGACAGAGCAGTCACGTGAGGACCTGGTGTCTGGGCGCCTATCCTGGGTGGTCAGAGGATCAGAAGTAACATTTGCGAGGCCCCTGGCCCAGCTCGTGTGCACAGCAAGCCCTTCATGAAAGGCAAATGAGGATGATCTTACTGGGAGGCTGGTTTACTGGGAGGCTGCTCAGGGCTCAGGCCAACGGTGCACGGTGACGGATTTGGAGTCACACAAACCAGGAGGCAAGTCCTAGTTGATCTACTTGCCAGCTATGGAACCACCCTTCCTGTCTGGGCCTCAGTTTCCTCTTTTGTAAAACGGGACAACAGTACCAGCCTCTGGCTATTGCAGGGACTACCCGAGATGACTTTGTAGAAGCACAGAGCAAGCCGCCTGGCTCCTAACAAGTACTCCATACACAGTCGCTAAGTTTTCAGAAGGTTATGCTACCGATTTGTCATCCCGGCCTTGAAGACGAGACTCACTGGGGAGTGAAGGAGAAAAGGGGAAATAAACACAGCCTCCTTGGACCACACCTGGCACTCAAAGTGGCCAAAACCAAATCCACTGTCTGGCAGGCGGTTCTGGAAGTCCCCCACAGGCTGAGCCAGGAGCCAGAGGTTGCTGTGGGGGTGGGGCTCCGCATCCTGGGCCTGGCCCAGGCCCCAAAGCTCCCTGAGAAGGGGCACCCAGACTGAACTTGCAAGGGGAGCCCGCACCCACCCGGCAGCTCTCAGGACCAGCAGATCTGGGATTCAGAGAGAAGGAAGGAGTCACATTTAGGGGTGCGAAGCTGGGTAGGGGGCAAAGAGGGCTACTTACCGTAAGGCTCTTCCCAGACCTGGAATCTGCAAAAAGAAAGAGTAGTGACTTCACCAAGGAGGGCTTGGCAGCTGCGGTCCTGCCCCACCATGCCCGTGGGCATCCACATGGTAGCTGGTGCCCAGCCAGGCCCTGGGCCTGGAGAAGAGGGACAGGTCCCAGAGTCAGTGCCCACCCCCAGCACAGAGGCTCACCTCCCAGTGCTCACTCTGCAGGGGCAGTCAGAGCACCAGGAACCGCACCCCACCCCCACCCCCAATCCCCACCATTACATTCAGCACACTGGACTCTCCCGGTGCCACCCCCACCCTCAACACACACAAGGAGTGGTTCAGGAGAGGCACCTGGAGCCGAGGAGGCTTCTTCTGGCCCCAAGTTGGTCTGTGATCGCAGCCACCTCCTTGTAGCCCCAGTCTGGAGAGCCCAGAAGTCCCCAGAGCACCACGCAAAACTCACAGGGAGGAGCTCAAGGCCAGATGACAGAGAGCAGATGGCCGACCTTTTACCACCACCTTGTCTGAACCACGCATCCGACTGACATACGCGAAGCAGTCGACCCTGGAGGCCTTCTGGCTCAGGCCAGAGTGAGCTGTTTCCTATTTTGTGGGCCTGGAAGAGCCCGTGCGCACCGCCACCCAACTCTTGGCAGCCCCCCTTTCCGGTGGGCTCAGGAGGTAGAAATGCAATGGCTCCTGGGCACAACTTCCATCTCTTCATCCCAAACTCCCTCCTTCCACCCCAACTCTTCTCTCCTATTAAACCGGGTACCGGGTCACAGCCAAGCATGTGCTGACATTTAACCATGACCCACTGGCCATCCTAGAAAGCTGGAGGTGGCTGCCCAGGCATCTGGTCTATGCTGAGGCAAATCAACAACCAGGCGCAGACCACCGCCTGGCACAGCCTCCAGACCGCCAAGGAGGCTGTCTACGGAGACCTGGGATACATTGCTACTAGGCGTGCACACACCTAACCCCATAAACCTGTTCCATGCTTCCAGCTAAGTCACCTCTAGTACACTCTGATGTCAGCAGCTCTGGGGAATCATCGGCCCCTCATCCCAGCTGAAAACACTCACTGGAGGCTGACCCACTACGATAATACAAATAAGACGGGCAGTTTGAGCATGTTGTGTGGATGCCAGCTCATTTTGGGGAGCACTCATATGTGTACCTTTTAAATGCCCATCAGCAGGTAAAAAGTGTCTAAAGGGGAAATGGACCCATAACAATGGTCAAAAGAAGCATGTGTTTACAATGATACGAGTCTTAATTCTTGATTTAACAAATGTGTCAAGTTTACTTAAGCTGGTAACTGCTGTTCCCAGCAGTGCGGTCACCTTGGGAGACTGTGGCTTGTCCTTGGTGTCCAGGTGGCCAGTGGCCAGGTGGCTACTGTTCCTTGCCCATGCCACCACTTTGAGAAATGCTCTCTGGTCTGAGGCACACTCTTTAAACTGATGTCAGCGATGCCAAATCTTTGTCCTCTGAGGATGGTTTTACAAACAAACCAACTGTGGTTTGGTGCCCAAACATTGGGGTGGCCTGAGGGGAAAAAGTGTTACAAAGTAACAAGACAAAAATAAATAAAAATGATAAAACTCAGTCTTGGAGAGGACGTGGGTAAACAGGAACACAGATGCTCATGTCCTGTGAACTGGTTCCATCTTTCTCAAGAGCCATTTGGCAATGAAAATCTCACACCCTGTCACCCAGTAATCCCTCTTCTGGGACATACCCTCAGGAAATAACCCAAAAGAAAAAATAAACAACCCAAAGCTGTGTACAGTGGTGGTATTTATAATATCCAAGAAACTGAAGGCAAGCCAGATGCCAAACAGTCCTGGAGCAGAAGCCTTCCTGGTGCTGAAACCCCAGCACTTTACTTCTCCTTTGCCGGCCTCAGTCCTCTTATTTGGGAAATGGGACGAGCCGTGTCAACTTTGGAGCATTTTTCTGAAGATGACAGATCTCAAAGCAAAGGTGCCCAGGGATCAGTCGTGTCGAGAGTATGTAGTCCTGATACGATGTGCTGGACGTGACCCTTTACCTGTGTGGTCTTCCTCCCCCACATCTAATCCCAATTTAATCAGGAGAAAAACATTAGACAAAAATCCAGTAGAGGGGCATCCTGCAAGTAACGGATCAGTACCGCTCAAAATTTCCAAGGTCATCAAAACAAGGAAAGTTGGACACTGTTGCAGCCCAGCGGAGCCTAGGAGATGTGACGACTATGAGCAATGGGGTGTCCTGGATGGGCTCCTAGAACTGCAAAGGACCTTAGGTAAACTGAGGAAATCTGAATAGAGGATGGACTTCAGGCAATAGAAATGGATCAGTATTGGCTCATTTATTAATGATAGAAGAAACTACATACGAACTCTCTGTACTATCTTCTCAAGTTTTTTATAAAGCTAAAAAAACTGTTCTAAAAAGTGAAGTCTATTTTTTTTTCAATTTAAGCAAAACTTTAAAAAGGCAAGGTGCCCAGGATGCTAACACGGCATCCAACATTGTAAATTTATGGCACCAAAGAGAAAATCAGCACTGGACACTAACATAAAATAACCTAAAGGTATAAAGGCAGAATCCAGAAGGTACTGACATCTGTCCACAATGTACTACAACCCACGTGTGCGCTCTGATAAAGATCAGGGCAAATTGTGCCAAGTACACAGGTCAGATTTCGTAAGTGCTTTTCCCCTAAAAATGTTGCTTCACTCCACTGTCTTCATTTATTAGTTTCCTTGCTCTTGGGAATAACTGTGATCTTCTCATAAACACGTCCAGCACCCCAGGACTGCAGTAAGGGACATGCTGGGGATCAGCGGTCCCCTGGGACATGGTATCCCAAGGCCGCCTGAGAGCCACTTCAGCCGAGCACAGTTCCCCCCATTGCTGTCACCCTCAGTCCCAGCCCCTCTCTGGCCCAGAGGCCAGACAGTCCCACTGCTGTAGCAAGCACACAGACCCAGGGAAGACTCTGGCACAGAGGCTCAGCCAGGCTTTGGCAACAGGCACCCCTAGATTCAAATCCTGGGCTCCTGGGAGAGACATCCAATCCCAGGGCAGGAGGAGAAAAGTACAAGCCAAGCCGGGAACATCTTATAATAAAGAAGTGCTCCAAACCCAAAAGGATTGGGACAGAAGGACAGAGGAGACAGCTTGAAGCTCCCTCACTCCCCCACGCCCTGTATGATCTGGGACAATCTGAACATCAAATTCCATAATGATGGCAACAGAATAAAATAGGAATCCACAATACATACAGATACATATATATGTATCTGAACGAAGAAAGGAAAGTTTGGTGAGAAACTGGTTATTCACTTTGGTGAGAAACTGGTTATTCACTTAGCCTCAAAGTAACTCCCTTCAAAATACATTGCAATTACCAAGAAGAACAGAGCAACTTCACAGCAGTGAAGACTGGCAGATGCCACCTGAATCCGCCTCGAGTGACCACCACCAGGTAAGGGAAAAATGGAACCTGGTGGGACGGACGCTCCAATAACAGCTCAGCATCGCTGCTGGGATGTTCCCGCAGCCAAAGGGCACAACCTGACCCCAGTCTGGAGGAAACATCATACCACCCCAAGGTGAGGGACACCCACAGAATCACTGGCAGAATCTTCAAAAGCGGCAAGGTGGTGATCATGAAGGAAAAGACAGGAACTGGCCCAGATAGAGGGAGATTCAAAGACGCAACCGCCGAACGCAACACGAGATTCTGAGCTGGATCCTTTCTCTACAGGGGACATTATCAGGACATGTGAAGAAACTTGGAGGGGCCTGAAAACTAGTTGGTCATAGTGCCTCAAGGTGAAACCTCTAATTTTGATGGTTTTATTACGGTCATATAAAAAGACGCCCTTGTTCGTATGAAATACACACTGAAGTGTTTGGAGATGACAAGGCCTCAAGTCGGTAACTTCCTCTCAACTGGTGCAGGAAAAATGAGTTCTTTGTACTGCACTTGCAACTTTTCTTTAAGTTTGAAATTGTTACAAAACAAACAAACAACCTCTTTCTTTCAACGTAAACCTGCCTGAAGTAACAGATAAAGCAATGACTTCAGTGTTGTCTATTTCAAGGAAGGATTGTAAGAGTTTCAGTCAATGGTTCTTGACCAGGAGGGATTCTCCCCCAGAGACATTCCGCAGTATCTGGGGACGTTCTGGGAGCCCGACTGGGAGGTGCGGCTAGTATCTGCAGGGTCTAAAGACACCAGGGAAACTGCTAAACACCCCCGATGCACAGGACAGCAGCCCCACGGCAACAAATTATCCGGTCCCAAGTGTCAACAGCACTGAGGGTAGAAACCGTCTTTTACAAAAAATCTCACCAACAAAAGTAACAACAAAATCTGCTTATGAACCAAGTGGCCTTAACTCAGTTCCCTCATCTCCCTGTGCCTCTGGTTCCGCATCTGTGAACTGGAGACCATAGTAGCAGGTGCCTTACAAGGCTGCTAGGAACAGTAAGACAGGAACACGTACGTGCTTTGCAAATACCTACCACCAGGGACACACGCCATAAAGTCAGAGCCATTCAGGAGATGGCTGGGAGCGCCTAACGGCCACCTGTCCAGACAGCCCTGTGCTGCCCACCCCAGCAAGCCCTCCCCCACCCCTGGGGTCCCAGGACGGGCAGGGCTGGGGTGCGCTTTCCCATCCTGCCACCTTTAGTCCCTCAGAGCAAGTGACACCGGTCTGAAAGCTTGGGAGAGCTGGGATGGTTTCTGTACCCAGCACAGAGCCACCAGGAAGAACTCCACGGCGACGATCTGAACACGGGAGCGAGCAGATGAACGAGTGAATGCCGCATTACCTGTCCAGTCCGCACCGCTCCGAAGGCGGGCGGCATCCACCCAGCACGGCCCGCCCCAGCCTGTGCCCTGCATTCTCCTGGCTTCACATTTCTTCCCTCGCAGGCCTGGGAACCCAGATCCCCAGGGACCCACCGGAAGCCAGAAGGCCAGAAACAGCCCCAAACAAGACAGCCACCATGGAACCTCCGGGTTTGGTTCCGTGCAGCGCTGGCTTCTTAAGAGAAGGTGGTTTTCTGTGTGTGTGTCTGTGTGACAAAACTGTTATCAACAAGGTTTGAAGTAAAAAATAAACTGACGGCAATGGAAATTCTAATAGTACAAAAATGTCAAGAAAGCAAACATGGGTTTCAATGAGACATTGAGCCTGACAGCTAATGGAAAAAGGCTTGAAACTATCAAAACACAAAAACCCCCCTTGCAAAGAGAGCACAAGAACCTGCTTGTGAAACTCATCATATAATTCAAAACATGCCTCAGTGGATTGTTTTTGTGCCCAAGTCAAAAGTCGGATTACAGAAAGGTTCTCCAAGGGTCCTGGGGAGACTGGGGGCACGGGGGGCCTGGCCTGGCCATGGGTTGACCCCTGGGCTCCCGGGGGGCCCTGGGTGGTGGACAAAGCTTGGGGGAAGGAAGAGGGGACACGATGGAGCCCTCTACAAACCAAACCCACAACCTCAAGGAGCAGCGCCTGAGTCTGGTGGTGGCACTTGCAGGCTGTGTGCCCCTGTGCCAGTTATCCACCTCTCTGAGCCCTGTCTCCTCCTTACGGAGTGAAGAGCATCGCCTGGCCTCCCCTGGGGCTCCTGGGTCAGCGAGCCTGCCTTGAAAGCAGAAGCAAGGCTCAGACGATACCTGCTCACTCCTTCCCCTTTGCCAGGCCCAGCGTACAGCAGGTGCTCAAGCAGTGCCCTGCCCTGAAAGGGGCTGCACAGGGGAGAGAAGACACCCCTGCCTCCAGGTGGCAGCTGGCAAGGGTCTGCTGCCTGGATGGGTGGGGAGGGTCAGAGGTTCCCAAAGGCTGCCTGGAAAAGCTTGCCTGGGGGCTGGGCAGGGATCAGAGAGCAGGACCAGGGAGAGATTCAGGACAGCCTGAAACTCAGGAAGGCCTGGGGTTCCTGGTGAGGAAAGAGTCCCCAGACACAGGCGGCCCACTGCTCGCTGAGGCACCCTGCACGGAGCTGAACAGGCCCCAATGCAACTGATCCACGCACCCATCCTCATAAGTAGGCCTCACCACCCCGTTTTACAGATAGGGAAACTGAGACACAGAGGAATTAAGTAACTCACCCAAGGCCAGGCAGCTTGTAAGTACTGGAGCTGGCTTCCAGCCCACCAGCCTGCCCTGCCGAGCCCTGCGCCTCAGAGGAGAGGAGAGGAGTGGGGAAGAATGGGGAGGGAAGAGGGACTGGGGGCCTGGGGAGGAGGGAGAGACAGGGGGATGCCTCCGGAGGGGGCACTGTGAGGGGAAGAATGAAGCCTTCCTGCCAGCACCCCATTCACGCACTGTGCAGGGCATGTATGTCACACCACTGTCACCTACATTAGCGTCCCATCACAGATGAGGCCGAGAGAAAGGAGGGGCAGCTTGTGGGCAGCCATCCTGAGGGAGCCTCAGGCCCAGGGCCCAGAGCTGCTGAGTGACCGTGAGGCCCAAGCAGCCGTTTGGATGTCCGGGCACCTACCCGCAGGCTCCAGCTTGGGCTGGAAGGTCTGGACTGGGTAGCACAGGTGGAGCTCTGAAACGACAGCAGAGGGCGCTGGAGATGCCAGCCTCAGAGAGCCTCAGAGGGCAGGGCAGGGACCCAGCCAGGCTGGCACCAAGTGCCGCCCCCTACTCCAAGGCCCCAGGGCATATCCACTCACTCTGCCGAATCCACTTCTTGCAGGCCCTCCTGTGGCACAAGAGGAAAGAGATGGAGCCGATGACCGTCATCAGCGCGACCAGCACCCAGAAGAGCACAGGCCCTGGAACACAGAGCAGCCCTGCTCAGTCAGCCCCCAGAGTCTCCATGAAGGTGTGATGGCGGTGAGCCTGGGGCCCTGCTGCCACCACACAGGCCTTGTCCCAGACTCCCTCCTCCACCTCCCGGGACACACACTCCATTGTGGTTGGCAGGACCTGGTCCTCAAGTCTGGACTAAAACTCAGACCTTGCATCTATGTGGTCCAGCCCTTACCCACCTGCCATCCCTCACCAGGCTCTGGGAAGCCCATTAGGGTGGCCAAACAGTTGGGAGAAGAGCAAACCACTTCTAGAGGGTGAGAAATCACCCAGTCAAGGAGCCAGGATGAAAAAGGAACTGAAGTCCAAAGGAACAGAGTCTGGGGGCCGCAGAGGAAGGTGCACGTGATGCCCAGCCCAGCAGCTGGCAGAGGAGCCAGGGTGGGGCAGGCAGAGCAGTGAGGAGGGCAAAGTGGGGAGCCCCCTCTAGACAGGAAGCTCCATGAGGGCAGGCACAGGATCTGCTCTGCACGCCACACTCAGCAAGCGTTCCTTGAGTGAGCGAATCAGCCGAAGCATTAGGCACCTTCATCTCCATTTTGCAAACGAGGGAAACTGAGGCTCACAAAAATTAAGTAAAATTAGCCCAAGGTCACCTTGAGGGTAAATGCCGGTATCACAGCACTTGCCAGGCCGGGGAACCCTGGAGCCCACTCGTTTAACTACTGTCTGAGTACATTTCTTCACACCTTAGTGCTTAACATGCCTGTTTTTCTCATTTGATGTTTACAAAGATTGCTTATCTAGCTTTTGTTTTTTAAGTCCTTTTTAGATGTTAAAAAGTAGTATGTGTCAGCTAAGTGCTTCTCAGATTTTAATGTACATATGAGCCTCCTGGGGACCACATTAAAATTCAGATTGTGATTCTGTAGGGCTCGGGTGGAGCTGATAATTTGCTTTTCTCCTAAGGCTCTGATTCTGCAAGATCAGGACGCACTCAGAACCGCTGGCCAAGGAGCTACCGCCACCCAGTGTCTGATACTAAAATTGCAGGTCCCGAATGCATCTTGGAACGTCTACAAGGAGCCGGAGAAGGGGTCCCGTTCCTCAATCCCCTGCTTGGCATATTGCAACTTTACAGGTGAGAAAAAAGAAACTCAAAGAAATTAAGCAACCAGTCAAGGTCACGAAGTCATTCACCAAATATTTTCTGAGTAGCAATTATGAGCCATGAGGATGAAGGTGTGAATAAAACCTCTGCTCACAAGAATTAAGGAATAATCACTAGCGAGTGACAGAGCCACAGTCCCAGCTCCAGAAACCAGAAACCTGGGGTCAACCTTGGTTCCTCCCACCTCCGCCCAGTGGATGCCAACCCCCTGGCCCCTGGGAGGAAGGCCCTGCTCCCAAGGCGTAATCATTACCTGAACCCAGAATGGGCTTTCCCGTGGAGGAGAAAGAGATGGGAGCACTCGTGAGGATGGTGTCCCCCCAGGCGTGGGTGATGCCCCCTCCGTGCCCCTGACTGGTCTGGGAGCCAGCCGGGGAGGTCAAGAAGGGGCTGGTGCTGCAGGGAGAGAAGCCAGAGGTAAGACTGGTAAGCAAGATGGAAAAGGGAAGCGCATGCTCCGAACTCCCCTTCCACAGAGACTGTGTGGACAAAGCCTGAGTGCCCAGGACCTCCGCCCACAGTCTCTGCCAGGCACTCGGAGGATGGGGATTGGAATTCTAGGCCTTCTGGCTTTCCCATGGTGCCAGTACAGAGCTGGCCATACATTCTCCAAAATAACTTGTGGGCTTGGCACAGAGAGCGAGCCCAGGCCCCACCTCCACCCCCAGTCCCATGCCCCCCAGAGGGGTTTGGGCAGTCACCTGGTGGGAGCCTCGCTGTCCTCTGGGCTGGTGCTGCAGTCTGAGTGGGCTTCTGGGGGAGGCAGCTCATAGGTACTGTCCCTCTCAGCCGGACCTGCAGGGAGTGGTCTAGGATCGGTGCCAAGGAGCTTTGCCCAGCAGGGACTGGGAGGCATAATGGTGGGGACAGAAGGACACTCTAGCCAAGCAGACCCACGTTCGTGTCCGTGTCCTAGCTCTCTCTCCTCCCTTTCTCTCTCCCTCCTTCCTGCCCTCCATGCAACAACTCTTTATGGAGCACCTACTATGTACCAGGGCCAATGCTAGGAGCTGGGATACAGCCATGAGCAAAACAGACAAGGTTCCCACCCTCGGGGGCTCACAGGCTGTTGGCACTCATAGAAGTGGCTTAGGCATCACAGAAAGGCACTTGGGAGTCCCTGTAATGAGAGACTCCCCTTCATCTGACCCGGGAGGCTTCCCTAAGGAGGCTGCCGCTGAGATGTGGGGGGGGGGCGGTTCAGGGTAGCTAAGCAGAGGAAGTGGAAGATGGGGAGGCCGGGAGGTCGGGGAGGGCGGCATGCCACCTCACTGACACATTCGGGGCTCCTGCCCACCACTGCTCACGGCAGCAGGATACAACCCAGATGCCCATCAGCTGTTAAATGGATAAACCAAATGTACACTGGAATATCGTTTGACAATAAAAGAACAAAACACTCATACTACAGCATGGATGAACCTCAAAGGTATTATTCTCGGTGAAAGAAGCCCCACGCAGAAGAACACATACTCTGGAAACATCCAGAGAAACCTAATCTAGAGAGATAGAAAGTAGGTTAGAGGTCGTCCAGGCTGGGCCTGGGGATGATTCTCAAGGGCACAAGGTTTCTTAGATCATGGGGTAGTTCTGTAACTTTGGAAACTAAAAAATCATTGAATTGTACACTTAAAACTAGTAGACTTTATGATATGTAACTTATGCCTCAATAAGGCTGTTTTTAAGAAGTGGGTCTTTCTCCCCAAAGTGGTGACTTTAATTAGCAGCAGGATAGGATCACTGTGGTAGTAACAACGAAGCAAAACTGAAGGAATAAAACAGCAGCAGACTCACAAACTCCAAGAAGGGACTAGGGGTTACCAAAGGGGAGGAGGGAGGGAGGGAGAAGAGGATTGAAGGGCATTATGATTGGCACGCAGGGTGTTGGGGGGTCACAGGAAGACAGTGCAGCACAGAGAAGGCAAGTAGTGACTCTGTGGCATCTTACTACACTGCTGGACAGTGACTGCAGTGGGGCATGGAGGGACTTGATAATAGGGGTGAATGTAGTAACCACATTGTTTTTCATGTGAAACCTTCCTAAGAGGGTATACCAGTGATACCCTAATAAAAAAAAAAATGCCTATTCCACAAAAATGTTAAATGAGTGTTTATAGAAAGTGCTTAAAACTCTGCCTGGCACCTAACAGATACAGTAAGACTGCATATTTTATCTCACCAAAAAGACTAAATGTCTCAAGGGTAGAGATGCTGTATCCTACAGGTTCCAAGCTACTGATGGACAAATAAACAAAGTTTGATAAGAAAAAAAAAAATCACTGCGGTAGATGCATCGTGGCCCCAGCTCCTCATTCTGCCCCACAGCCACGCCCTCTGCCACATTCCTGCAGCTCCAGGTCAAGGCAGGAGTCTGTGTCCCCAACCCACAGATGCCTGAGCTTGGCCATGCGACTTGTCTGGTCGATGGACAGGCATGCAGGTGACAATGCGCCTGTTCCCAGCATCCGTTCTCACACTTGACCCCTTTCTGCACTTCCGCCGTTGCCATAAGGAGACCGCGCCTGGGTGCACAGTCAGGCCAGCAGTATGAGAAACAGCAGAGGAAACGCAAACCAGACCTGAGCCTGAGCAAGACAGCAGAGCCGACCACCGACAGGCCCAGGTTGTGCGTAGGGCACTGTTCCTGCTGCTAGAGTTGGCTGAGACCGTCGAATTTCTGTTTCAAAACATCAAAGTGGCAGCACTGGTGAAAATGCTGCTCACCAGCCAAGTGCGATCAAGCAGGAAAGTAGCCTGGTGACTCTAGACCTTCTGATTTTATTTAAAAGAAAACCTGATAAATAAATTTAAATATCCCTGATATTTAAATGTAGCCTCAATCTCTAAAGTTCTTTTTCTTTAGAGATCTCTTTCTTAGGCTCCTCGGTGTCCTGTTTCTTTCACTCAGCGTGCTTCTGAGATTCGTTCTCGTTGCCTATATCGCTGTTTATTCCTTTTTGTGGCTGAGTAGTGTTCCACCATTTATTTATCCACTCACCAGTGGATAGAGGTTTGGACTGTTTCCAGTTCGAAGCTAAATAAGGCAGCTCTGAGTATTCTTGGTCAAGTCTTTGTGAGGTTCGTGATTTCATTCCTCTTGACTACTAGGAGGGGCTGTGGCTGTGGCCGACCAGGCAAACCAACTCTAAGACAGTCACCTCTGGTCTGACCAAGCAGCTCTTTTTACAGATGGAGACAAGCTGGAAGTGGGAGGCAGGGCTCCTGAGTCCCAACCCAGAGCCCCCTCTCTGTGACCATGCCACCACCTGCCTAGGGACTTAGCACTTTCATAATGGCTTGCAATTAATTGCTTTTCTAGGGCAGAAAAAATGGACCCACGCTGGAAGTAGGTCATGCCCAGCTTCTACCCCTCTCAGCCCCCACATTCCTGCTGACAGCACCCCTGGTGCAAAGAAAACCTCCCACCCGCACACACCTCCATTTAAAGAACACTCATGACTATCTTTCCTGAAGTACTGTTACGAGAAAGTGAGGTGAGGATTAATGTCCTTTGATTAGTAGGATCCTGAGGAATCCTCCTCTTTTGGGGGGGTCTCCAAAGAGATGCTGTGTCTTTCCATGTGGGCACCAGACTATTACCTGAATTAGTCAAAGACTGGAGGCCTCAGGCTATGAGGAAGATGATGTAACTTGTTATGATAATTTCCATGTATTTGCAAATCAGTATTTGAACTATGTTTGAAATGTCTTTGGGTTTCAGTGACAGTTGACTCTCAGAGCACTGGAAGAGCTCTTGTGCTCAGAAACACTAACCGTGGCTACCCCCAGTTAGCACCAGGAGGAGACAGCCCTCTGGCCTCTTTCCAAGGGCGCCTGGGTCTGAGCTGCCTGGGACACCTGCTGGAATCCAGCCACAGAACTGCTGTCCCTCCCCTGAGCAGAGAAGGTGGACCCAGAAATCTCTGGGTGTCTCTCATCTCCTCTCTGCACGAACCATGCCTCACCCATACCCTCCCTGGGTGAGTGACCCTCCCCTTTCCTTCCTCCTCTGGGCCTGGAGGTGAGCAGAGGCATTGCTCAGCCCCTAGTTAGCCTGCCTGTGTTCCCTGGTAAGAGCCAGGGGAAGAGAAAAAAAAGCCCGACGACTCTTAGTCCCAATGTAGGAACTAAAAAAATATTATTATTTACCAGAGTAAAATATTTCACTTTAAATCCAAATACCTGATCCTTGGGCCATTTAAAGGTGAATGCTCTTAGCATCAAGGTCAAATGGATTCTCTTTTTGTGCATCCAGCAACTGCTTAAAACCAAATGAAATTTTCATCTTTGTACTTGGGCTGTAAACTTCTTATCAGCTCTTTATTTTTCCTACAGTTGTCAATTGCCTTTCTTTTTCTCTTTCTTGCCTTCTCTGTAGCCTCAAGTTTCCCAACGCTACTGCTCATGGAATTTACTGCACTTCTCCCTTTTATCCCTACAGACAGCTCCCTGGAGCCTCCCATTTTCCTCCTATGATCTGGCTCAACTGGACTGCAGCACAGCTGTCATGCTGGGACTTCTCTTCCCCGCGCTCCTGAGAAAGAATCACAGTTTTCCAAATGTCGTGCCTTCTTCTTTTTTTTTGTTCTTTGCCCTTTATTCAGCTGGCTTACACCTTCAAGTAACTTTCTAAGATAGAATACATGGGGACAAAGCTTTCTGCTCTTCTAGGTCTGAAAATGTTTTTCTTCTTTCAAACGTAATTGTATTTTAACTGAGTAAAAAATGTGAGGTTCAGAACTAAGGAGCTGGTGTGGTCTGGTGGTGGGTGAGTTCAGTACTCTGGGCTGGATTTCAGGGTTTTTAGCCAAAAAGTTGATTATTTTCATCAGGAGATAAAAACTCAGGCACCATCTGCTCAGACCGGTTGGTGCCTGTGGTACACAACTGTAAGAAATTTTAAATTTTTATTTGCAAGTTGAGGTTGCAGCCCACTGCTTTTCTCGGTTCTCCACTTCACTCCCACCCTTCACTTCACGTGCCTGCTCTGAGCCCAGAGACTCTCCAGGGGTCTTATGAGCAAGCTACTGCTCTCTTTTCCTTCAGCCCTCATGGAGTAAATTCTGGGGTGAGCTTTCCTCTACCTGGTTTCATTTATCACCATCTTTCCATCTGTTTGCTACCTACTGGAAATTGTCAAAATTTCTTATCTGCTGATTAACCCCCTCTATTTTCCCACTGTTGGGGGTTTACACTTTTCTGCAGTCTGGTGAATGATCACCATCTTGAAGCTTCTTCATAAACTTTATAATGATCTGTCTTGAGTCAATAAAACAAGCCTGGCAAACAAGTCAAGATCTTACCAGTCCAACAATTTCAGGAAGGAGAATTTTTAAAAAATCATCAGAACCTCTTTCCAAAATGCTCAATCTGGATTTTATTCCACTCACTGGACCTAACCACTCAAAGAAAAACCAAAGCCCAAACCTGACCTCAGTACCAGCCGGGGTTGAAGGTCATTTGCCCAGTTGGGGGTTGAGAGAACAGCTGCAGGAGAGCACAGACCTCAGCCCCTTGGCTGGGGTGCAGACTGCTTACCCTGGAGTTTGGTGACTGTCCCTGGTGAGTAGATGGGGAGAATGACGCAGCGGGCACAGGAGTTGGTGGCTGATGTGACACAGAACATGCCAGGTCGACATTCGCAGACGCGGGAGGAGTTCCACATGCAGGGTGTCTTCTCCACGAGATCGTCTGGGGGACACGGAGGAAGGTCCTGGGTTAGGATCAGGGATGGCAGGGGCAGGGGGTCCAGAGAACCCCCAGGAGGGCAGAGAAGCATTTGCCCAGGAACAAATATTCATTTGACTACTTGGTTAGCAGATGTTTTTATTATTACTATTATTATTATTATTATTATAGTATCATTGATATACAATCTTACGAAGGTTTCACATGAACAACACAGTGGTTTCAACGTTCACCCATATAATCAAGTCCCCACCCCTGCACTGCAGTCAGTGTCGATCAGCGTAGCAAGATGCTATAGGCTCATTACTTGTCTTGTCCGTGCTAGACTGCCTTGTACCTATATTGTGAGTGCTAATTACAGTGTCCCTCAATCCCCTTCTCCTTCCCACCCTCCCCACCCTCCCCAACCCCTCCCCTTTGGTAACCGCTAGTCCCTTCCTGGAGTCTGTGAGTCTGCTGCTGCTTTGTTCCTTCCGTTTTGCTTTGTTCTTATCCTCCACAAATGAGTGAAATCATTTGGTACTTGTTTTTCTACATCTGGCTTATTTCACTGAGCATAATACCCTCTAGCTCCATCCATGTTGTTGCAAGTGGGAGGATTTCTTTTCTTTTTATGGCTGAATAACGTTCCATTGTGTATATGTACCACATCTTCTTTATCCATTCAACTATGGATGGACACTTAGGTCTGTTAGCAGATCTTTTGGCAAAATAAATACGTTGAGTGAAACAAGGCAGAGAGAAAACGAGTATATACTACATGATTCCGTTGATAGAGAATGCAAACTATGCCACAGTGACAGACAAGCAGAGCGATTCCCTGGGATGGAAGCAGGGGTTGGGAACGGGGCTGAGGGGTGATAACGAGCATGAGGAAACTCCTGGGGGTGAGGGTTCATTAGATTGATTGTGGTGATGGTTCCATGGCTGCATACACATGCCAAGACCTCGCAAATTTCACACTTTAAACACGTGCGTTGTATTATATGTCAATATATCTCAATAAAGCCATTAAAAGAAAATCATCCCAATTTAGGACAGGGGTCAGTGGGCATGCGTATAGAAAAACCAAGACTGGCCGCAACCTGAAAATTCTTTCAAACTGGCTGATGGTCCATAACCATTCCTGATTCTATTTCTGAACATGTTTGAAATTTTCAGTGATACAAAGGGATTTTTTTCAAAAAAAAAAATGTTCAAGGTTTTGTAGAAGAAAAAGGATGACAGTCTCTTTATATAGGTGCTTGGGAATATTCTATGTGCTCTATTTATGGGTGGGAAGAGAATTATTGCATGAGTAAAGCTGACGCACATAACTTGCTTAATAAGGACATTCCTCAGGACCGCCCAGTTCCTGCCTGCAACCTGCAGACAGAGCAGGAGCTGGGGAGGGTTTGGAGAATGTGCATGGAGGGCAAGAGTGAGCTCAGCAGCCAGGTGACTTGTGAAAATTACAGCTATTAACATGACCAGCGTGTACAAGGCAGTCTTCTTAGCACTCTGTCCAGATTAGACTAGCTCAGCCTATTAACTCTGAGACAGTACCAGTATTATACCCATTTGACAGGCAAGGAAACCAAGGCACAGAGAGGGTAAGAAACTCTCTTGAGGTTGTAAGCTACCAAGTGGTAGAGCCAAGATTTGAACCCAGGCACTTGGGCTCCAGAACCTGTGCCTTTAATCCTGATTCCACTCCCCTGCCTGGTAGGGCTACAGGGATGAGAATTGAAGGAAGCCGCAGGCCCAGGGCCATCTCTAGTTTCTACATCTGACATGGTGGCTGTGACAGATTATATTTTTCCCAAGAATGGCAACAGCAATATTTCTGGCCCCAGAGCTCCTCCACTTACCCATCGAGAAGCGTAGTTTTCTTTTCTTTCCATTGACTCAAGTGGAGTTTATGACTGACTCCAAGGGTAGGAAGTGGCGGGAGTTATGCTGTGGCCATAAGAAGGGACGTGGCTTCCCCCCAAGCCCCTGACACCATCCTTGGAACCCAGCTCCCGGGGGTTGAGGGAGCCCCGAGCAAGCCGTGGAGGCTGACCCGGAGAGGAAGTGAGCCTACCTCCAGCTGGCATCGCCCCCCGGCCCAGGGAAAGCTTGAGTCCAGCCTGCAGGCTTTGAGTTTTCCAGCTGAGAGCCCAGGCAGCGCAGGGCAGAGACCAGCTGCCCCCACTGCACCCGGTCTGACTCTGATCCACAGAATCCAGGAGGACAAGGAGTGGGGTAGTGTCGCCATGAAGTTTTGAGAAAATTGGCTATGTGGCCTTAGTAACAATGGGACAGTGGACTCTACTGACAACAAATACCGCGTTCTTTCCTCTTTGGGCCTCTAAGGAAACCCAGAACAAGGTGGCCCTGTGAGCAGCGGGGGCGCTAACAGCTGCAGGGCCTGGGCAGTTCTCCCTGCCCTGCGTGGCCCTCCTGGAAGTCACAGGGGGATCGGTGGCACCGTGAGGCTGCAGTGAGCTGGCTCCAGGCAGAACACCAGTGGGCTGTCCCCCTGCCGTGCACACAGCAGGCACTCAGTAAGTGCTCATCCAGAACATTCTCCAAAAGGCAGTGCAGTGGAGCGGCCAGAGCCCAGAACCTGATGGCAGATGCCCTGGGTTCAAACTCCAGCCATGCTGGAGGGCTTATGGCCTTTGGAAGTCCCTCAACCCACCCCCCACAGCCTCAGTTTCTACTTCTATAAAATGGGGATAATCACAACTCATGCATCAAAGGATAGTCATGAAAAATAATGAGACAAGTTTGAAATGAGTAGATGATTAACAAATGCTTCCTTGTAGGAAAGAGAGAAAAATAGAAGCTCTTTGAAAAGGAGTCACCACTGTCAAAAACCAGCAGTTGTGCATGGGGTGCTAGAAGCTGACTGTTCAAAACACCAGAGAGCTAAACTAGGCTCATGGAGGCTGAGCAGGCCAAGACCAGGCTCAGGGCTCCCCATCCCCAGATTCTTGGCCTCTCTTCCAAGACGTCCCCCCAACCCAGGAAGGGGCCTCTGGAGGGGAGGACAAGGCCCTTACCTTCCGAACAGCTCACACAGGCTGTGCAGCGGCCATCCCTCTCCAGGTAGTAGTCAGGCTCACACTGCTTCTGGCAGTCAGCAGACCCCTGGGGGCAAGGCTGATGCAGGGTTAGCCCTAGGAAAGAAGCAGAGAAGGTCTAGGCCAGGCTACCTTGGCAGAGACCTCACCTCCCCCCCAAGTCATTGAAGACCCCCAGCTCCACAGCCAGGTCCCAAACTCGACAGGTTCAGATCAGTCTCTCAGAGGGAGTCCTGAGGCTCAGAGAAGGAAAGGATGCATCTATGGCTACACAGGAGAAAAGCACTAACTGCCTCCTAACTGTCCCCTGCCTCCAGTCCCTCCCTTCTGCAACCCAGCATCGCCACTCTGCCAGAGCCCTCTCCCGGTCTCATTGCCATGTCACTGCCCACTGCCCTCTTCCAAACTTAGGGAGCCACTTTCCTTCTGAGATCAGCAACAAGACAAAGATGCCTACTATCACAACTGCTAGTCAGTATGGTACTGGGGATCCTAGACAATGCAGTAAGGCAAGAAAAAGAAATAGAAGTAGTTAGATTTAGAATGGAAGCTATCAAGCTGTTACGGACAGATGACATCACTGAGTGCACAGACAGTTGAAAAGAATCTGCAGATGTATGATTAGAATTAAATGAGTTAGCAAGGTAGTTAGGTTTAATGTTACTACGTCAAAATTACTTAAATGTCTATATATTTGGGTTGAACTGTATGAAACTGCTGTTTTAATAGCTCAGTCAAATTTTAGCAATTTCACGTGGCTTCAAAATAATACTAACAAGTAAGCATTAGAACAGGAAATTTTTAAAAGTTACCATTTACATCATCACCAGACATATCAAATGCCAAGAAATCTAACAAAAAGAAGTAAACATCTCTACATAGAAAATAAAACACTAACAGAAGAATTTAAAGAAGACCTAAATAAATGCAGAACTTCACCATCTACTGAATATTGTGAAGATGTGGGTTCTTCCCAGACTGCTTATAGACTCAAGGCAAACCCAGTTAAAATCCCAATAGGACATCTTATGGAACCTGAAAAGCTGATTCTAAAATATATGTGGAAATGCAAACTACCATGATTAGCCAATGAGATGTTGAAGAAAAAAGCTAGAGAAGTTGTTCAACCAGCCATCAAGACTTATTGAAAACTACAGTAATTAAGACAGTATGGGATTCACATGGACTAGACAACAAGACCAATGGGATAGAACACAGAGCCCAGAATCATACCCATACATATATGGACCTTTGATTTACAACAGAGATGTCATGCAAAGCAGTGGAGAAAGGACAAATTATTTGATAAATGGTGTTGATTCAAATGGATACCCGTGTAGACGCTTTTAATGTGACCACTGCCTCACACCATACACAAAAGCCAAGGTGGACAGCAAATTAAACATGAAATGCGAAACAGTAACAATCCTAGCAAATAATTTCGGGATTTCTTTGAGACTTCAGTACAGGAAAAGACTTACAAAGTAGAACATAAAAAGCAACAAGTCATAAAGGAAAAGATGGGTCAGTCTGACTACATTAAGTACAGCTCTTCATCGAAAGACACCATCAAGAGTGAGAAATCAAGCCACCGGGTGGCAGAAGATAGTTTGAGCACAGCTGTAGGTCGAAGGGCTCAAACCCGGAGTAATAAAAAGTCCTACAAATCAAATTTAAAAAGAGGGAGGGAGAGAGAGAGAAATGAAAACACACATTCACTGAAAGGCTTGTTTGTCATTATTCATTGTAGCCAAAAAGTGGAAACAACCCAAATACCCAAAAACTGTTTAGTGTGATACACCCATACGATGGGAGATGATTCAGCCATAAACACGAGTGAACCGGGAGCCCCATCTGTTGCCATGGCAACCAGGGGGCATCAAAGGGACACCTGCTGAAGCCCACCTGCTCTGCAAGCACGGGCATGCCCCAGCACCTCCCTCGGGGCACACAGGACGCACTCACACAGTGTTAAATGAACACATGCTTCCACTCTCTAGTCCGGCCCTCAAAGCCGTTGGCCCCCGGAGACCATGAGCCCCGTTCTCCCCACTCTGGGAAAGACTCCAGCTCACTGCCTGCCTGCCCGGCCCACCACACACACAGGTCACCCACCAATGAGACGCTGTTGGTCTGGGGAACAGCCCACAGCTTCTCTGGAGACATTACCTGGATCTGAACTGAGCTTCCCCGCGGAGGAGGACGAGTTGGGGGTCTTCGTCATTTCTGCATCGTCTTCTGGGAGGAGGGGAGCACCCTTTCCGAGAAGCATGGTCCTGGCATTGCTTGCTAAGGAGGTCAAACTGGGCTTGGCCTGGGGGCTGGTGCCACTGGGAAGGAAGCCAGAGATGGGCCTGACAGTTCTCAGGGGGCAAGGGAGGCCTGTGCTTGGGGTTTACCAATTCTATAGACAAGGATCCCCAGGCTCTCGGCCTCAGGCAGGCCCACTGTCAGCAACTGTGACCAAGGGCTGTTTCCGAGGCCTTCTGGGTCTCCCAGGTACTCAGGGAAGCCTGGGCACACAGTAGGGTCTCGAATTTCTTGTGGGCTTGGCAGAGAGTCACTCTGGAGTCCTGACACCCTGGGCTAACCACCCCCCACATGCCCAGCCCAGAGTGCCTTGGGCTTCCTGTAGGGTGGGACAGCTTCATGCTAAGGTCAGCTGGATGGGACAGAGCTGGGGGTCACCTGGCAGGCGCCTTGCAGTCCTCTGGACTCATGCTGCAGTCAGGGCTGGTCCCTGGAGAAGGTGACTCGCAGACAGTGTCCCTCTCTGCTGTGCCTGTAGGGGGATGGCAATGCCCTCAGAGTTGGCATTGAGGAGCCCAAAGACTCCAGGAACACACCTTTTACCATCACAACCAACAGCCCAGGATGGGGCACTTGGAAGACGCAGTGGTCATCGGTGTTTGTGCCTGCCCAGCATCCCTTCCCCCTGGGGTAAAGCAGCCTGATTTTCCCTGGGGAATTCCTCTCCCCAATCTCAGTACCTGTTTTTAGAGGCTGGGACTAACTGACCACTCCCTCCCTTCCAGCAGTGGCCATGAACCAGGCTGGAACAACCAATCGATTCCATCTCTGGCAATGATGGGCTGGTTCAGGATGGGCACATGCCCCAAGCTATGCCCTATGAGATGTAATTTTCAATGTTTTGGTCATGCTGAAAATGTAGGAAAAAGAAGCTGTCTTCCCACTGGGTTTGTGCAGGAGGCAAATCTATAGCTGCTGGCAGGTATCTACTCCTTATAGATAGGGGAGTAGAAATGAGAGCTAGGAAATGGCAGAGCTTCTAGATCCAGCCATACTTGAAGCTACCCAGAGCTATAACCAGACTTTTCAGTTACATGGGCCAAAAATTTTGGGGATTTTTGTTACTGGCAACCCCAAGAGTCCTAAAGAATACTGGGTGGAAGAATAAAGAGGAAACACACAGTGCTTCCATCAAGTGGACCTGAGTTTGCGGGCCACCTCCATCATGTTCTGGCTGTAAAGACGAGAGTTACACACTTCACAAGGCTGCAGTCAGGATAAACAAAGTGTACCCGGTGTGCCTGTCACCCTGGGAGGCACACGGTGAATGCCCAATAAATAGCATATTCTTTTCCCCATCTGGACTCCAGCCCCCCTGCTTGGAAAGTGACCTGCACATGTGGGATTACTATCTGGAGGCCTTATCCCCTCTCTTGGTGGTGTGGGGTGAGGAGATGTGGGTGCGACATTCAAACCCTAGCTCAGGTATCCCCTGATCTGTCTTGAGCAATTTACCTGCCATCTCTGGACCTCAATGTCGTCACTTGTAAAGTGAGGCTAGTGCAACACATCGGTCTTAGGGAATTTTGAGAATTTCAGGGGAGAAAGCCTTGGCAAGCTCTTGGCATGGGGCTTAGCTGTGAGCTGAATTTGAAGCAGAAACTACTTTCCACTTTACAGGTGGACAACCTGAGGCCCTGAGAGTTGCTCCGTGGGAGAGATTCCACAGTGGAATCTAAAATTAGCCAAGGCTTAGCAGCCAAAGGTCAGAGTACTGCTAAAGTGGTGCCGTCCAGTAGAAATACGACGTGAATCACATGTGTGATTCTAAATTTTCTGGTAGTCATATTTAAAAAAGTAAACAGGAACATATGAAATTAACTTAAATAATATATTTATTTAACCCAACATATCTGAAGTATATCAGCAGGCAATCAATATAAAAATAATTAATGAGATGTTTTACATTCTTTTTTTATTCTGAGTATTTGAAATCTATGTGCATAGTCTATACTGACAGCATATTTGAATGTGAATGGACACATTTTAATTGATGGATGGCCACAATGGCCAGTGGCACTGCTTTGGGTACAATGGTCTAGGGGCAGCAAAAAGAGGCCTCTGGCGCCACCGTGTGGCTATCACAAGAACACCACCGGGAGAGCCCTGCTGCCAGAGCTGGTCTACAAGGCCCTTGACTGAACTGAATTCAAGACTACTTTTCAGACATGGAAGGGTTTCTGAGCTGAAAAAGCCCCCAACGGCTTCCAGTCTCACCTCCACATCTTACAGGTGGGGAGACTGAGGCCCAGAGAGGGGTGGGAACACACCCCACAGATACACAGGTACAAGCAATCCCAGGTATCCGTTGCCCAGACCAGAGAGCTTTCCACGCCCCCACCCTGCCCTTGCTCGCCGCCGATGGGCTTCTGCGTGTCCCTTTGCAGAGTGTTTTGTGCGATCCAGGGAGAACTTGACCAATGTGAACCCCACCTGCCCCCAGTTCTGACCTCCCTGTTGGGTGCCCCACACCCACATCGTTCAACAAGTATCTCTGGAGGGCAGTCTGTGCCTGGCCTTCGATCAGGCAGTGAGGTGACCATGACACAGTGGGAATGGTCTTGGTCCACACGAAGCTACAGTCTAGGGAGGGGGACAAGCATTGATCAAACCGGTTCAGACACAAGTGTTCGTATCCATGTTTGCGACGGACACTGTGTGATAAGGGATCACAAAGGAGACAAGACCTGAGAGCATCAGGGGAGGCCTGGCCCGGGGAAGCCACGTGCGGACAGAGAGCTCAAGGCTGAGGAGGAGTTTGCTAAATGAAGGGAGGGAAGGGTGGCCCAGGCAGAGGGAACAGCATGTGCAAAGGCCTCAGAGAAAGAGAAAGCACACAACGGAGAGAACAGCAGACCCGGAGAGCCCAGACAGCAAGGGGCTGGTGCTATAGGCTGAGGCTGGAGGAAGGAGGGCCCACACCACACGGGGTCACGTGAAGGACCATGGGAAGGTGGGGTGGGCTCCCCTATTCCTCCCACCAAGTACAGCCAATGCCCTGAACGTTTATACAGAACAAGCCTCTGAAAGGTGGAGAGAGGAAGACAGATCAGAGAGGGGCCTGGGGACTCGAGGAGTGACCCCGAGGTGAGTCCCGAGGTCTCCCTTGGGTTCGTATACCCCACACATGGAGCCCAATAAGCCACAGCCCACAATGGCCAAAGGGCACAGGCTTAAAAAAAAAATTCCCCCTAATCTTTTTTTTTTTTTTCTAAAAATTTTTTTTTTTCTTTTGTTTTGTTATTATTTTTTTTATTTTTTTTTTTTTTGTTTTTTTTTTTTTGTTGGGTTTAATTAATTTTTTTTTTTTTTTTTGGGTTGTCCTGGCCATGTGCTACGGGGGAGAATGATGGGAGGACTGAGGGGCGGGAAAGGGGAGAGAATTGGGAGGCAAAATCCACGGCCTGGGGATGGGCCCGCTGTTGGGGGACAGGGAAGGGAGCGACCGTGGGGGAGGGAGCCGCTGCCTTCGGAAGGGACCGGGCTGGATGGGGGGTGGGGAGCTCGGTGTTGGCACTTTCTCCCTGTTGGACATGGTTCCCTCTGATCCATCTTGCCCCCTCCCCATGTGCCCTGTGGCACCTCTTCCGGGCTGTGGTCCAAAGCTCACCCACTCCCCGTGCCTCCCTTCCTGAAGGGTGCTCTCAGTACCACCCACACATGATCTGTGGCCCTTACCTCTTTTTTGGCCATGAGCCCCTTTGTACTGCCAATAAATTAGAAGCCCAGAGAGGGTAAGGAATTTGCCTGAGGTCACATAGCAAGTTGGAAAACTAACCCGAGTTTCTCAGCCTTGAGCCTAACGTCCAATCTCTTGACTCCTCTAACTCCCAGTGCCTCAGCTGAGCTGGGAAAGCAGCCCTCATCTTCTGGGAACGCCCAGGACAGAGCCTTGGGGTTTCCTTCTTGTGTATCAGGCATCAGAGAACCTCTTCCCCAAGCCTCAAACCAACCTAAGACCTCATCCCGCCAGGCCCATGCCTCAGATCTCCAGGGTTCCACAGAGCCTGGCATGGAGCCTGGGACACAAAGTGCAGGGGCGGGGCAGCAGGGGGCCCTGGGTGCCTGGTGCACCCCCATCTTGGTGGAAGGAGACGGAGGAGGAAGCGGGGGGCTGGAAGTCGTCGGGAGGTGAAGGGGACCACACTTGGGCACAGGGCTGCGTCCTGGGCTGTGGGTGAGAACACTTACCTGGGAACTTGACAATCATCCCTGCTGAGCAGACGGAATGCAGGGAGCAGCGGGCACAGGAGTTGGTGGCGGATGTGACACAGAACATGCCGGCCCGGCACTCACAGACGCGGGAGGAGTTCCATGAGCAGGGCCTCTTCTCCACTAGGTCATCTGAGGGACACAGGGAAGAGTCACCAGGGACAGAGGAAGGGCAAGGGAAGGGACCCAGGGGCAGCTGAGCCCACGAGCTGGGCAGGGAGCTGGCATGCTCAGCCGTTCTTTCCACAGTGTTCCTGCAGTGAGGGCAACAGGGCAGGAGGGGTCCACGAGGCAGCCTCCACCTCCCCACCCACGTCCCTGCAGGTCACTAAAATGCTATTTAAAGGAAATTAATGCCCCTATTTACAAATGGGCAAAAAAGACCTAGAGGGACCTTAAATACATATTGCTAAGTGAAAGGAGCAGATCTGAAAGGGCTGTGTACTGTGATTTCAGCTATATGACATTTTGAAAAAGACAAAACTATAAAGACCGTGAAAGGGTCAGTGGCTGCCAGGGTTCAGGGGGAGAGAGGGGGTGTGGGCAGAGAGTGTGGACGTTCAGGGCGGTAAAACCGCTCCGTATGATCCTGTGACCGCGGATACGTGACATTAAGCATCTGCCAAAATGCACAGAGTGCGCACCACCAAGAATGAAGCCTAATGTTGACTATGGACTTTAGTTAATGATAATGTATCACTGCTGAGAACGTGGATTGGAACAAGTGTACCACACAAATGCAAGATGTTAAGAACAGAGGAGACTGTGGGGAGTAGCCTAGGAAAGGGGGTTTATGGGAACTCTCTGTGCCTTCTGCTCAATTTTTCCATAAACCTGACTTCTCTAAAAAAAAAATTCTATTAACTTTTTCTTAATGGGCAAGGGATTTAAATAGGCAATTTTCCAAAGAAGATATGCAAATGACCAGTAAGTCCGTGAAAAGATGCTCAACATCATTAGGCATTAGGGGAATGCAAATCAAAATCTCGAGATACCACTTCATACCCACTAGGATGGCTAGGGTCAGAAAGACAGATAATAATAAGTGATGGTAAGGATGTGAAGAAACTGGAACCCTCAGCCATTCCTGGTGGCAATGCAGTCTAGTCCAGCACTGTGCATACCAATCTGGCAGTTCTTTAAACATACAATCACTATGTAATCCAGCAACCACACTTCTAGGTGTGGTATACACCCAGGAACTGAGAACATGTGTCCACACAAAAACTGGAACACAAATGATATCAGTATTGTTCATAAAAGCCAAAAAGTGGAAACAGCCCAAATGGCCATCAGCAGATGAATGGATAAACAAAATGCTGGTATATCCATTCAATGCAATATTACTCGGCCATAAAAAGGAATGAAGAATTCATACATGTTACAGTCTGGATGACCCTTGAAAAAACCATGCAGAGTGGCAGAAGCCAGATACTAAAAGCCACATATTGCATGATTCCATTTATATGAAATGTCCAAAGGCAGAAAATCATAGAAATAAAAAGTAGACTAGTGGTTTCCAGGGGTGAGAAGAGGAGAGAATTAGAAGATGAGGGGTTTCTTTTGGGGAAGTAGAAATATTCTGGAATTAGAAAGTGGTGGGGTTGCACATTATGGATATACTAAAAATCACTACACCATATACTTGAAAATGGTCATAATAGAAATAAAAATATTTAAGGAAAAAATAATTAGGTAGAAATAATTACTTATACATACTTATGCATAACATCCCTGGAAAAGAAGGGACATCCTTGATTAACCAGAAATGATGAAGTCTCCCTGAACATGGAAGGCAGGTGAGATCAGATCAGAGAGGACACCACAGCCCAAAATATACCCAAGAGGGTTTGCCAGGGAAGATGGGAGAGGCTGTGAGTGCTCCAGTCTCAAGTGGGTGCATGGTAAGGGGTGTGTGTGTGTGTGTGTGTGTGTGTGTGTGTGTGTGTGTAGGGAGTGTGGCAGGAGAATCCTGGTGGGTCAGGCTCCCACACTTCTCTTCCACTGATGCCACACAGCTAGAAGCCAAGTATCCCCACAACAAGACTGGGTGAGGTGAGCCAGGCCCTGTGCCATGCCCTGGGGCTGGTCATACCTGGGAGGTAAGAAAGCCACAGATCCAGGAGACCTGCCACAGGGCACTCCACCCCACACCCGCTTACCCCACAACCCTTGGAGGTGGGGTTTGCAGCCCCCTCACATACACCACATACCTTGCACACCCTCACATATCTGAGTCATCAGATATGATGCACCACAGTGGAAGGCACCAAACATGAAAGTCCACACCAAGAAACAAGAGCCCAAATTCGAAAAGAGCAAACACTCAGGTTAGCAGATGTAAGAGAAAGCAGAACAAGCCTTTAGAGCCAGTATAATTAATATCCTCAGAGGTGCAAAAGGGAATTGCAGCTGTAAAAAAAGAAACCCCTGGTTCACAAGGGCTCAGAGAAAGACTACATTTCCCAGCCTCCCTTGCAGTGGGGTTGGGATCGTGTGACTGGATCTTGGCCAATGGGATGGGGGAAGAAATGATACAAGCCTCTCCAAGGCTGGGCCCCTAAAACCATCTCTGTCTAGTCTCTCTCTTCCATTCCGTAGTGACCCTGGTGGAGCCCCAGCTCTCACCTGCACCCCAGAAGCTGTACTGAGAACAGAATAAAATTCTGAGAATTCTCAAAAATCTGCAAAGCAGACTGAAGGCAATGAGTAGACATCCCTGGAAAAAAGATAAAACCCTCAGAGTAATATACATGTATCATAATATATTTTATTATGATACAGAATATCACAGGCCTGGCCAGAGATGAAAGACTTCCTACACTTGCCAATCTCCAGGAAGCCGGCATAAGTTGTGGAAATGAGCAGAAACCCCAAGGGTGGGGTTCACCCCTCTCCAGGTAGCAGGAGCTCTGACAAAGACTATCTGAGAAAGGAAAGTGGGTCCCTGCCCCCGCAAGGAAGGACACCCACCTCTGGCCACACTCTGCCTCTCACCCAGGCCCTCAGGCTCCTCAAATGAGCTTCGCAAGTAACACTTAGGATTCCTCAAAAAAATTAAACATAGAATTATCACGTGATCCAGTAAGTCCACAGCTGAGTATGTGCCCCAAAGAACTGCAAGCAGGGACTTGAACAGATATTTGTACACCTTTATTCCCAGCAACATTATTCACAATAGCTAAAAGGTGGAAGCAACCCAATATAAATATAAATAAATAAGTAAATATATCATCATAATATATATTATCTATTATATAGAGAGATAATAGATAATATATATCTAGCAGAGATAAAAATCCACATCAATTTTCCTGGAATAAAGGAAGAACTAAATTTGCAGATAGAAAAGACACACCAGATACCAGGAAGAATTGTTTCCAAACAATACCAAGGCACATTCTGGTTAAGTTCTTGATCCTTCAGGATAAAGAAAGAATTATTCTTGCAGTCACCAATAAAGGGAGAAAAGACTGCAGACCCCTCCACAGCTATATTAATTACAAGAAGACAATGCTTACACCAATGCTGTGGGTAAAATTGTAATATTTTCAGAGTATCTCGCCTGGCTTTAGTGCACTTGCATATCCTCAGGGGTGGAGAGAAGTTCACCTCCATGTCAATTGGTAATTACCTGGGCAACGGAGGGCGTGTCTGAACCTGAGAGGTTAAGGGGAGGGGCTGGCTGGCTGGCTTGCTTCTTCAGGAGCAGAGGAGAGAGACGGCCCTGGACTGCAGTTTGTAAGCAATAAACGGGTTTTAAACTTTATTTCTCCCTTTGACTGATTTCGGTTTTTAGAGGTATTTTGCCCCAGGATTTCCTCTCCCAGGACTTCAAATGCCCTCAAAGTTCTGGAGAAAATAGGTCCTGAGAATAATATTATACCTGCCCAAATTGTCAGTCAAATAGAAAGGCAACAAACATTCTCAAGCATGAATGAAGTCAAGGGACGTGCAAAGATAGAAGCCTCCCTGGGAAATCCGCGTGACAGTGATATCTAACCAATCAAGCAATAGATCAAAATGAAAACTTCCAGAATGGAGAAGCCATGGTAAACGTTGTCATGGTGTGCAATGAATAAATTTAAATAGCAAAGGACAGCTAAGACATCAAGGGACTTAGAATTACAGAAAAGAAGAGAAACATCGTAACTATGACAAAGTAAAAATAATGCAAGCAATAAAGGTCAGGAAGAGGACGGGGATGTCCGCAAGCCAATTAATCACTTCATTTCTGGTTACAGGGAGTCAATCTACTCTCTAGTCTCCAAAAATTGAAACAAATAGAGTGACTTTACCGCCAGAGGCAGGCATCCCTTAAATGATTCCTAATGGTTTACTGATCTTCATAACCTCTTTTAATTTTAGAGGGTTTTTAAAGGAACTACTGCCTCTTGTGATAGCTTAGTTTCTTCACTTTAGTTTCTTCTTCCTCTGATACATTTGGGTAAAATTACATGTAATCATGTTAATGCCATAAGAAGTACAATCCAATCCTCTTAAAAATCCCTTCTCTCTGTGTGTGTACAGTCTGTCTACTAACCTACTCAGTCTTGTCTCTATGGAGATACAGAGAGGTGTCAGCCATCCAGGGGTGGGGGAGGGGGCAGAGGGGGCTTTCTCTCTTGCACTTCCATATTGCTTGAATTTTTTATAATAAATGCATGTAATTTGCATTTAATAAAATACAGTCATTAATTTTCAAAACTTATACCAGAGAAGTGCTAACATAAAGAAAGGTGATATTAATAGCAAACAAAAATGGAATTAAGGCAACCACATTACAAGGAGCAAAAAGGTGTATTTTATGATGGTAAAAAGTCCAGCCCACCAAGAAAATGTCATATTCACTCACATTGTTCATAATAACATCGCTTTGATATATATAAAGCAAAAGCAGACGGAACACAATGAAAATCTGATGAAGCCCAAGCATATCAGGACATAGACCTTAACACATCTAGCTCAGAATCAGTTTCTGAAGATGCAAAAATAAATAAGGATGCATATTACTAAAAACCACAGTAAGTTCTCGAGTAGGTGTACATGTAGAAAAGTGTACACAGCAAACAGAACACACATTCTTTTTCCCAAACACACTAAACATGCCCCCAAAAAATACAAAAATGTATTAGGTTACAAGAAATCTCAACAAATTTCCCCACCACACCCTCCAAACAGCCCACCGAAAAACAAAACAAACACCAGCAAGCACACAAACCACTCACTAACCGTAGAAAGAAATGAACAACCAAAGCCCTTATTGAAAGGGTTCTCCTGGGACCAGTGTGGTCCTAGGGAAGGAACACAGCTCTCAGTGCAGACCATCAATGCAAACTCCACTTCTGCCACTTCCCAGAGTTTTGTAACTTTGGAAAGACCCTTATCTCCCGCAGCCTCAGTTTCTCATGGTAAAAGAGGGATAAGAAAAGAATCTTCCCCTAGGGGGGTTGTGAAGATTAAACTCATACATGTGAGTCCCTCCCTGGAGGAAACATGTTAACTGAGTCTCTTTAAAAAGTGTGGATGCCAAAGATCACAGTTGATGTGAATTCATAATCTAGAGGGGAAACTGAGACACCAGGGGGTCAATTCAGAGTAGAGACACCAAATCTTCATGTCTCCCACAATGCACATTCTCTAGCCCCCTTCCCTGGAAGAGGCCCCAGAGGGGAGGGTAAGGTCCTTACCTTTGGAACAGCTCACACAGGCCAGGCAGCCGCCGCTCCCACCCAGGTAGTAGTCAGGCTCACACTGCTTCTGGCAGTCGGAGGACCCTTGTGGGCATGGCTGCTGGGCAGACAGTCCTAGGAAAAGCAGCAGAGGAGCTCCAGGCCAGGCTGCCTGGGCAAATGCCTCATCCCCCACCACCATCACCTCTCACCCCTGAAGCCCTTCCCAGCTCCACCCCAAATCCCATCAGTCCCACTCCTGGGTTTCAGATGGGGGCCTTGGCACCCAGGGGGCAGACCTAGCCTGAGGTCACCTGGCAGGCAACACACGATGGGGAGAAGAGCTGGGGCTGAGATGCCAAGTGTGTGGCCTTGGGCAAGTTATGAGCTCAAGGGGACCATTAAGTTAATGATAGGATCCACCATCCAGGGTTGTTGAAAAGAGAGGGAAGCAGAAATTAACATGCGTGAAGCACCGCAGCAAAGCTCTGCCCACAGCCAGCGCTGGATGAGCCCTAGTTGCCAGCAGTCCTGGCAGGAGTCCTGTTTCACTGCAGGAGGGGACGCAGTGACCCTGAGGAGTCCAGTCCAGCCTGAGGGGCCCGAGGTCACCCTGACTCCCACTGTACAGGGATGGGACAGCGTGATGCTGATACCGACTGATGGGGTGCAAGGGTAGAGGGCATCCTGGAGGTCTGCAGGGGTGGTCGCCTGCACTGCCCCACTCCCTGTGCAGTCTGTTACCTCCCACGGCTTTCTTCTGGGACCAGCACGTGACCCAGGCAGGCCAATCAGAGCACATCTGCATCACCACTGTGATTGGTTCATGGGTACATGACCCATGCCAGCCGGTGAGTGGTGCCTCTGCGAGTCCCACATAAGTTACGAGGAAAAGAGCCCCTTTCTTTGCTGTTGGATGTCCAGATTCCCAGTTAAAAGGGCCATTTAAGCCTGAAGCTGCAGGGTCGTGGCTGCTGCCGGTGGGCAAGACCTGCCTGAGACAAAGGCTACTCAAAGCTGAGCAGAGTCCAGAGAAGGAGGAAAACAGACTCCTGAGGACGTTCGAACCGTAACTGAGTGAGGAAGTGGCATCTCTACCTGCAAAGTGTATCTGTCTTAATCTTTGGGTGACAAAGCTTGTGTTCAGCCCCGCAGCCCTGCATGTAGGCTTGTTAATCATCAGAAGGAATCTTGCTCATGACTTATGATCGACGCAACCAGCCCCTTACCCAAAACTCGCCTCCTCCGAGGAGATAAAGTCTGTACAGAAATGACGTCTGGATTGGCAAAGACTTACAGGAACATCATGACTAGACCCGTGTCGACAAAATGACGGGTGCCAACTAACCAGGGATGGAGTGTCACCACCCTCCTCAGACCCTTACTGACATCCAGACGTCTGAGATTGACTGTCCCTTCCTGACCTAATCCCTTTCTGCTCCCCCTTCCCCAATATAAAAGAAGCTTTAAGTCAACCCTGTTAAGATGGTTCTTTAGGACATGAATCCGCATCTTCTTGGTCTGCTGGCTGCCTGAATAAAGTCACTTTCCCGGCACCAACGACTTGTCTCTTGATTTATTGGCATGTCATGTGGCACTAGCTTGACCTCGGTAACAAAGCCTGTATTTATGGTGCGATGGACTTCTCTGTTATTGAGTCAATTGTTTCTCTTTTGTTTGGGCCTAAGTGAGTTAGGCTTCTTTTCATTACAACCAAAAAAATCTAGATGAGGGGTTCTCAACATTTCCTGTGCCCCTTAATCATTTTGGGGAAGCCTGTGTACCCTGCTCAGAATCATGTTTTCAAGTGCATGAAATGAAATGCGTAGGATTATAAAGGAACCCAGTTGTGTTGAAATATGGTTATCAAAGTATTAAATAAGTAATTTAAGATCTAGTAATATATGTGGTTCTTTGTAAACTCATTAAATAAGATCTCATAACTACCACAGTCTCAAAGTAGTGACGAACATAAACAATGTCAAGATACCTGCAGCATTTGTAATATAACTGCAATATAATAAGGAGTATCTGATTTCTACTGATGGAAAAGCTGTAGGTACTACTATTACTCCCAGGCTTTGTTGCCTTTATTTATAACAGAAGGGATTTATATGGGGAATTTTAGTTAGAGATTGATGAAAATAACTGAACTCATTCAGGTTCATAGCCCCCACCCCCACCGAACTCTTACCCCAAGGTGAGAGTCCTTGCTCTAGAATAACATGCAAGGACCTCTTAAAAATACTAGCTTGATGACTGGCACACACTTTAGCTCAGAAAACTTGAGTGGCTCCCCAGTGGTCTTTCAGAGAGATAAATCTGATCCTATCACCCACCCTTTGCCTGAAACTTCCAAGGGCTTCTCATGGTTCCTAGGATAAAGGGCTAGGTCCTTATCACAGTTAATAAGGTTCTCCCCACCTACATACCCCTTGTTCTTTAATCTCTCACCATACCTGTTCCCCAAGGGATCATGCTCCCTGATGCCCCCAGGGCCTTTGCACAAGCTGGTCCTCTGCCAGGAATGCTCCTCTCTCCTGTCCCCTAGTAAACTTACACTTAGCCTGCATATCATGGTCAAGGCATCACAGCCTTAGCAACTTGCTCCAGAGACCCATGGACCTCACCCTCCTACATCTAACTCTGCTGTAATCTCACATTTATTTGTGGGATAAATTGTCTTAGTGTCTGAATTCCTCATATGAATTTCAACTCCTCAGGGATGGGTCTTTCCATTTCTGCTCACCAACAAATGCCCTGATTAGAAGGCCTGGCACATATTTGATCAGTACATGTTCTGACAACCTAATCAATACAACTCCTTAGCCTGGCATTCCTCAGCCTCCCTGTGTCTCTAGACTCCTGGTCTGACATCATATGTAGCTCTACACAATATGTCATGCACTCTATACTTCAGCCAACTTGGGCATCTCAGGCTTTTTCTAGCACCCCCATATGTCCTGAAATGTTGCCCCAAAAAGTTGTGGAAGCTCTAGCCCCCAGTATCTCAGAATGTGGTCTGTTTGGAGATAGGGTCCTTACAGAGGTAAGTAGGTTAAAAGGAAGCCATTAGGGTGGGCTCTAATCCAGCGTCCTTATAAAAGGTATCCTCATAAAAAGGAGGGAAATGTGTACAGAGGCAGACATGCACACACAGGGAGAGGACCACGTGAAGATTGGAGTCATGCGGCCACAAGCCACGGAACCACCAGAAGCTAAGAAAGAGGCCAGAACCTTCCCTATAGCTTTCAGAGGGAGTAGGGCCCCACCAGTACCTTGATCTTAGACTTCCAGCCTCCAGAACTGTGAGACAAACTTCTGTTCAAGCCGCTCAGTGTGTGGCCCTTTGTGAATGGCAGCCCTAGGAGGCTAATACAAACGTTCTCTGCCCAGGCCAAGGTGCCCCTCCATCTCCTTCACTACCCCCTAGGCACACTTCATAGCCAGCCAGGTCAGGCTAAAATACGATCCCCTGGTGGAACTTTCCTGATCACCTGAGCCCATTCAAATCCCCTCAATGGATCCCTTTAGAATCACCTCTCGGTGCCAGGGGCTGCTCTGGGGTGACCCAGAGGAACCCCCTGCTGCAGGAAATACATTGAGGACTCAGAGGGACTAACTTGGTGATGGGATTATTTTTTTCATTCAACTCACATTGCCTGAGCACCACTTTTGGGCCAGGCCCTAATTTAGATATTGGAGAAGATGAGGTCCTTGCTCCCATGGGACTTACCCCCTAGCCTGGGCAAGGCAGACAGGCAAGGGAAATCAGCAAGCTGGTTTCCAAGGGCAGTACAAGCTCTGAAGAAAATAAAACAGAAGCTGCTGGAGAGAAAGGAAGGGGCAGCGGGGTGAGCCCCGGAAAGTGTGATCAGGGAGGCCTCTGTGAGCCCCAGAGGGTGAAGGAGGCAGCCAGGCAGGGGCTGGGGGACAGCTAGGCAGAGGGGACTGCGTGGCAAAGAACAGAAGGGCCACAGGGCTGGAGCAGAGGCAGCAAACGTATTGTGGTGTTTCTTCATTTCTGTTTTCTTCTTTTCCCACGTTCCACACAGATCTTTTCCACTGAGTGTCGCTTTCATAATCAGGAACAAAAATGGTGGCGAAAGGCTTCTGAGTTGTGTGTTCTGAGAGCTGTTTCCCAGGCACCCCTCTGCTCCGATCCTCCTCCGGCCACAGTCGGCTCCCAGGCTCTGATCAGTGCTTTTCTGACTCCAGGTGTTCCCAAAGTCTGTCCTGACATTCCCATCACTGCCTCTCACCTCTGGCCCGGGGCCAGGGCACCCAGACAGCCGGGCCCCAGCTGCTTCGGGCCCAGGAATGGCCACACAGAGTGCCGCTCCTCCCTGCGGCCAGCAGGCCGGCCCCTGCAGCCTCCCTCCCTCGCTCCCACAGGCCACACCTGGCTTCAGCCAAATGGAGCCTCTCCCAGTTCTTGAGCAACCATCCTTGCTCCCTCCAAGCCTCTGCGCATCCCACCCAGAGCATACTCCCTCTGCACCTTGGCCTGGCCGAATCCTGCTCACCCTCAGCACACCTTTAGAGGCCACCTCCTCAAGGAAGCCCACCTGAGTGCTCCAGCAGGCCCAGGTCCCCCAGCGTTAGGCATACTTTGGAAGGCCTTTCCCATCCACAGGCTGCCTCTTGGAGGACAGTCCCCATCCCACCTTCCCCACCCCAGCAGGGGTCCGGGGCAGTCCTGGCCTTGGGGAATCAGAGCAGAGGTGGGCATTTGGACTTATCTGCATCATCAGATCCTTTCTTTCTCTACTTTAGAATTGGGGCTGAAAGATGCCTGTCAAGCGTCCCTCCTGGTGCCCTGAAGGAGAGCTGCAGGTTCAATGGGGAGCCGTCGCAAGCTTGGGAAGGCAGGGGAAGCTGTCTCCAGCTCCTTCCTGCTCACAGCCCTCAGAGAAACCTCAAGTCCTGGGACAAGATGGGGTACACCTGCCAGGCCCCAAACCATCCCTGCTCTCTGCCTAACGCTGACTGGGCCTGGCTTAACCCCCCACCCCGGCCCACGCCCGGCTCCCCTTTCCTCCCCACACACACCCCTAACTCCTGGCAAGCCTTGAACATCAGCAGGGGAGACCTTTTCCTCTGGGGGTGAGTCTGGGCAATGATAGGTGGGTGATGTAGGAAGCAGGGGGCAGAATAGGAAGGGGGTTGTAGCCCTCACACGGGCTGTTCACAGGTACACTATGCTGGCTCCCCAAGTTCAGTGCTTGGGGCTCAGTACCAATTGTGGGTGAAGAGCTTAGGAGTCTGAGCTAGGCGGTCATGTTCGAGCCCCAGCTGAGCCACTCGCCAGCACGTGACCACGGCAAACCCCTGCACTCTGCCGTGTCCCGGTTCCCTCTCAGGGCTCCCTACCAGGGTGCAGTGGGGGAGTGATGGAGCACCATGGACGTGCTCTGTCAGTGTTAACTGTGGCCGCTGTTACGAAGGGAGAGTGAGCTCCCTGTCACAGCAGAGGGCGGGGGTCAGCTGTCAAGGACCTAAGACAGGGCATTCACTCCTGGGCAAAAGGACAGACTTAATGACACCTAAACTTCTCAGTCTCAAAGGCCTCCCAGTTTCCTTCCTCCACCAGCCGCCCCCGTGCAGAGCCTGCCGCACAGCTGAGAGCTGATTGCAGAGGGCAGGCAAAATGTCAGAAATTTCCCCGAGAGACCAAGGAAGGGGTTTTTGTGGGTTTTTCATTTTCCCTCTCCTGCTTGCCCGGAAGCACAGGGTCAATAAAACTCCAGCAAAATGCCCCGCCCACCACACCAGCAGAGAGGTGCTCAGCCACCCCCAGGCATTTGGCCTTCGAAAGGGACAGGGGATGGGATCCCCGTTTCCCAAGCATAACATCTAAGCGGAGGGAGACCGGGTCCCGGAAGTCCACTCTCTCCACCCACTCCCCTTCAAGGCCCTGCCAGGCTGGGGTCAAGGGGGCCAGAGGGCGTGGGAAGGAAGTGTCTGTCTTTCTCCCTGCGGCCGGGATTGTGGGTCCCACGGAAAGTCACAGAACACTGAGGGCCGCACTGCTCCAGAACCCAGACCGCAAGTGGCCTGGGGAGAAGCCGTGTGTCACCAGCCACAAAGCAGTGGGCTCGGGGAAGGAAGGCTTCATGGAGGAAGAGGTGCCGGGAAGGCAGCAGGTGTAGGTGGTGGTGAGGGTGTCCCTGGTGAGGACAGGCAGGTACAAAGGCCCAGTAGGTGAAAGCACACAGTAGGTTCAGAGAACACCAAGCATGGCAGTTCCTATAGAAAGGCCAAGGGAGCACACAGTGGGGAAGGTGACAAGTGACCTCACTGTGAGATCTAGCAGTAAACAATTGTTGGATGGATTGGATGGGTGGATGGAAGAAGGGAGGGAAGGGGGGAGGGGTGGAGGAAGGGGGAGGGGGAGAGGAGGGGGATGGTGCTATGAACTGAACTGTGTTTCCCCAAAATCCGTATGTTGAGGCCCTACGCCCCGGTGTGACTATGTTGAGGCAGGGCTTTTAGGAGGCAGTTAAGATTAATGAGGTCATAATGGTGGAGCTCTGGTCTGATAGGATTGGTGGCTTCATGATAAGAGAAAGAACATTTTCTCATTCTCTCTCTCAGCCATAAGAAGGCAGCTGTCGGCAGGCCAAGAAGACACTTCTCACCAGAAACCAAACCCTGCTGGAACTGTGATTTTGGACTTTCCAACTTCCAAAACTGTGAGAAAACTAATGTCTGTTGCTCAAGCCCCCCAATCTGGTATTTTGTTATGGCTGCCCCGGCAGAGTGAGCAGATGGGGGGACGGCTGGGGTCTGGGAGGCAGGAAGAATGGGGAGGGGCTGAGGGAGGAGGGAGGTGGACGGCTTAGGGAATGGGTGAAGGGACGGACGCGGGTGGTGCGGACAGGCAGGTACACGGGTGGGAGGGAGGCTGGCCGGCAGGCACTGATGTCCCACACACTCAAAAAAAGCATGGGGACCACCAATAAATACCTGAAAACCAGCACTAAACAATAAAGGCCCTCATGGCGGAGCAAAGGGGCCCTAGGTCAAGGAACGGGCTGACCAGGGCTCCTACCCCGCTCTGGCCACATTCCCGTGGGGACCGTGAACATCATGACCCGTTACTATGTTACGCTCCAGACAGCCATGCTGGGAGGCTTAGAGGATAAGTGGGTGGGCCCCCTTCCTCCTCTGAAGCCCCCTGCCCACTTCCAGTGGCCTGCCATCCTCCAAGCACAAGGCACTCAGGATGAACCACTTGCACAGAGTCCGTACACCTGCCACTGGCCTAACTGATATCCTTCCGCCCCATGAGTCTCCAGAGGCCCGAGACTGTGGTTCAGCATTATCTTGCGGCCCCCCTAAGGTAAGGCCACTGGACGTGCCTCAGGATTTTAGACAACCACCTAGGACCCAGTTCTAATTGCTCACCTGCTTGGGCCCGAAGCATTATTTGCCAGGTGGGAAGAACCAGGTTCACCCCTTTTCCAGAAGGATTTCCTGATAATCTTCTCAGAGCCAGTCATTGTGCAGGGGGTGGGCAAGACTCCGGATAGGGAGCCTGGGCCCTGAGAGATCTACAGTCCAGGGGACCCTGGGACAAACGGACCTCCTGGCCTGAAGAAGATAAGGACTGTGAAGGGCGTGTAGACCCAGAAACGAGGGGTGGTCACGTGGTGTACAGAGCCTGGGCTCTGGGGTCACGGGACCCTGGGCTCCCGTCCCACCCAGCCCCACTATTTCCCGGCTCTGTGACCTTGGGCAAATCACTCAGCCTTGCAATAGCCTCACCAGCAAAATGGAAATAATAAAGGATAGTTGTGAAGATCTCATGAGATGATGCAATGGGCATGAAGGTCTCAGACAAGGGTATATGCAGTCAGCATTCAACAGGGGGCAGCTAGTAATTTAAAACAAAAACTCACAAAAGGCGGGCCTTCAGAAACCTATAGCTAATATGACAATGAGGATGTTGGCTCCTGACTTTCCCACTCACCAATCCTTCCAGAAGGTTGTAACGTAAGGACAAAAATCCCCCTTTGTCTGCACTCTCGGCTCCCACACTCACCCTCTGGGCAACGGTAACAGCACCTCCTGGCTGCCTCATCATAGTAGCGGCTGGAGTCTCTGGCACAGGCGTCCATGCGGGCTCCATCCTGGAGGGTGGGACAAACCGGTGAGGCCGTGTGAGGACACCCATCCTCCCAAGAGGCCTGGTCTCTACTTGCTGTCAAGGCCAGGCCTCAGACTGAGTCTCATGTTATAGAAAATAAATCAGGTGGACATTTCTGATGTCACCTCTCCCTCAAACCCTTTCCACCCTTTTCACCTTTGGGCTTCTTGATAGCAGATGATGGCAACTTCAACCTTCCACAGCTCAGGCCAAAACCTGGGGTCCCTTGACTCGCTCCTTTCATGCTCACATCATCAGCAAATTCTCTCAGCCTCTTTGGACCAGCATCCCCACCTCCTCCATCCGGTCCCCATCCTCAACCCCTCTCCCTTGGATTAATTCAGTCGCCTCCCACCTGACCCCTGGCATGGACCCAGAAATACAAATTTCTCGTCAACCTGTTTGTTGACATCTAACACAGAAAAGCACACAGACCTCCAGCATGTGCCCACTGAATTTTTACAGTGTGAACACATCCTGCAACCAGCATCCAGATTGAGAAACAGGGCATTGCCAGCACACCAGGACTCTGCCTCCTACCCCTTCCCATGAAAGTTCCCTGCTAACCTGACTTCTACGGCACAGATTCATTCTGTCTGCTTTACAGGGGTAGAGTCATACCTTCTGTTTACTTGCAATTTGCTTCTTCTACTCAACATTCCATAATGAGAACCTGCCACATTGTTTCAAATGGCAGCAGGTTCCCTTAAGTTCGTTGCTTTGCAGTATTGCATTACATGAATATGTACAATTTATTGGTCTATTCCACTTTTGATGGGACTTTGGGCTGTTTCCACTTTTTGATCCTTATGAATAGTGCTGCTAGAACATTCCTCTACATATATTTTTGGGCACAAATATACACATTTCTGTTGGATATATACCCAGGAGCCCAATTGTTAAGTCACAAAGTATGTGTATGCTCAGCTTTGATAGATTCTCCATACAATTTTCTAAATGATACTAATTGATACTTCCTGGCTGTGTATGAGAGTTCCAGTTGCTTCTCAAACCTGTCAACACTTGCATTGTCCCTTTTAAAACTTTGGCCATTTTGGTGAGTGTGCAGTGGTTTTTCACTGTCTTATTTGCATTTCTCAGACAGGTAGTGATGTTGGGTATATTCTCACATGTTTATTAGCCATTTGGTTATTCTCTCTTGTAAGACACCTATTCAGATCTTTTGCCAACTAGAAAAAATGTTCTTATTGTTCAATGGAAGTTCTTTATATGTTCTGGTTATAAGCCCTTTGTTGAATATTTGTGCTGCAAATATCTTCTCCTATTGTATGGCTCACATTTTCACTCTCTTACGGAGTTGTTTGGGGAACATAAGTTCTAAGTTTTAATGGATCACAATTTATCAATCTTTTCTTTTTAGGGTAATGTTCTTAATTAAGAAATAGGTATGCATCCAATGTAGATACTCTCCCATAAAATCTGCTAGATGATATTGCTTAACCTTTCATATCTAGGTTTCATTTTGGTGCATGGTGTGAAGTAGGGTTAAGACTTATTTTTTTTAGGAATATGCATTTTTAACAAGCTTCTCTACATGTTTCCAGGGCTCTTTGAAAGTTAAGCTCATTTGGAGGGGTTCAGGGGAGGAAACTCTCTGCTGAGATCCTGGGGAAGGAACTCTGTCCTTCCCTTTAGAATGAATGAAGGGGAACACAAAGCCGGCTCTGGGCAGACCCATAACAAGGAGCTCCAGGAAGGGAGGGGAGGAGGGAGCTGTCTGACATGGAGCCTGGCAGGCAGGAGGTGGCCACTTGTGGGATGAATGGGGTGGTGGCTTTCATGGTTTGGAGGAGGAAAGCAGAAGCCATTCTCCCCACACCCTCACCCTGGGAAGAGGGCTGACTGGCCAAAGGGACTTCCCTACTCTTCTCTCCATGCAAGGGAATAGTCAAAATTAATAAACAAATACTTCTGTTATGGTCAAACAGCAGCAAGGAGGCCAACGAGGCCGGAAGGTGGATACATGGAGTATTGATCACATTCTTCTTTTTGTCTTTTTTTGCACATTTGAAACATCGCCATCTAAATGTGAAATAATAAATACAGCCTGACTTTTGCACAACACCAGTCACATGGCACTTGTGTGTCTCTTTTCTCATTTAATCCAGAGCCTGGGGCCTGGAGGACGCGCTCTTCACCCACCCATGCCCAGCCTCCCCCCTCCAGCAGGACCTGATTTTTCTCAAGTAAAGCAGGGGCTGCTGGGAGCCTCTGTGGGAGGCAGAGACCTGCCAGGACAACCTGAGGTTCTCCCTGACCCGTGGCATCTCACCAAGTGAGCGTGGAAGCCTACCAGTGGGGCGGCCTGGGGGTACAAGGGTTCCGCGCTCCCAGGCCCGCTGAGTGTGGGGGCAATCCTGGGCCCTTGGCCTGGGTGTTCCTCTCCCAGCCTGCCTGCTCATCTCAGTGATAGCTTTGGACTCTGAGGGGGCCATGGTCCTGGGCCCTGCTCCCTTTCCCAGGGCCTGGGGAGCAGCTGAGTGGAGCCTGAACACTTATCTTCACCTCCTGCCACTACACCTGGGCCAGGGGATGAGAGAGTCAGAAAACAGGGAACCCATGTGTTGCCTATCACACGCCCCACCCCCAA